TTTTTTCGACCAACTGAAGGAGACGAGAAATTTAATTTCTTTAGGAAAAGGTATCGTGACCTCTCACCTTTTTTTCTCTCGCGTCAATCCGAGTCTTACGGCAGCACAACGCCACATGTCTATACCCAATGAATTACTATACCCTCTCAGTTGCAGTCAATATTTCTCAGTTTTGCATGCACCGTTCCAAATCTAAATGCCTTCACTTTATTTTCTTTTTCTTTTTCTTTTTCTTTTTCTCTTTTGCTTTAATAAAGTAACCCACTAGCTGCGCGCATATTGCAATGTACATTGATTTCTTTACTTGTTCCAGTGTACACTAAGGTCTTGGCTAAATTCCCCGCCGAGCTAAAAGCTTAGACCACAGGGAACTTTGTACATACCGAAGGCGTTGCTGGCTAGCTGGCATAAAGAAATTTCATAAAAAGACACACAGACCAATATCAGGGCTGTGCTATAGTCCGTGCGCGACAGGCAGAAGTGCAAATTTTGCAGGTAGCTAAGGCTACCTCACCAACGTTCCTTCTACATTACATACCTCTTACATACTCAGATACTTCCCACGGTTCCTCAACCTGCACCCCTCCCCAAATCCGCACAGTTTGTTCCCTCTACCTTTTCCTTTCTCACACCAAGGTACTCCGTACTTCTGCTGAACACGATACATTTGGTTCTCATTCCCTGTCATTGCAACAACAACATTCAAACCCCAACCTCACCTCGAATCTTTTGTTCACCGGCGTCGGTGCCTGCTGCGCGCGCGCCCACTTTCGATTGACTAAACCCTTCTTGTCACTTTATTTTCCCACGGGTTTGTCTAACACTTTATCCCCCCAGCTAAGCAGGAAGTCGCAAATCTACCTGTGCAGTACCAGGTGACAGACGCGTCCGTTGTATTTCGGATCAAGTCGCCTCGAGGTTGAGAAGACACAAACCGTTGTCCACTGTACGCGCGACTTGAGCTATTGATTGCCTGTCCTCGCCGTTTCGCAGCAGGAAGCAACAATAGAGTTTCAACGTCGCTGCAGAGTTTATGCACTACGGCTTAACCATCTCATACTTCTAATTGCCCGTAAGTTTGAGTACCTTTTACTTTTTGTATTTTTTTTTCCCCTTTCAATCATTGTATTCCGGTATTTTCTTCGCGATCCCCACTATCGACATCATCACCCGTCGCCTGCATCAACAGAAAAAATAATTGAGTTGCGCGACTATTCAAGACACGCGGTGTTTGGGTCAAACACTCCAACCAACCCTTCACGATGCTGCCGGCTGTGGCCTCGCTCTGGCATCAACCATCAGCAGCATCGTAATCAAAACACACGTTGTCAACTAAAAATGCCCTTTGCCCCTCCAACTTCCTCGCGCATGCAGACACCATAGTCTGCCTCCTATTGCAACAATCTCGCGGGTAACATTTTATCATCGTCACTTCTTACTCCCGCTACTACTCACTCTCACTCTCACCACCGTTACAACTACTTGTCATACTATGGCTTTTCTTTGTCGACGTTTCCATTCGTCCTTCTTTTTTTCGTCGGACCAGTGGTAATTTTTTGTGTCGTCCCCCCTCTGCCGCCGCTGTTACTTTCCCTTACTCTGGCGCACCTCGCCTACTTACTTCGCCTCCCTGTTTCTGCGCGGACTAATTTTTTATTTTCTCACCTGTACCTTTTCCCCCTTTCCCCTCTACTTACAATCCATTTTAAATTTTGTTCCTCCAATTTTTATTTTTTTGCTCAGTCCCGTTTTATTTATCCCCCCTCCTTTTTAAGCTTTAGCTTTGTTCCATGCACTTTTGATTTTCCTTCAGTTGTATCGGGAACAAAGAAACCTTGGTATTGTAGCTGACGCTAGTTTGCCCTTTTCAGATCATGCAGCAGTGGCAGGTCGGCCCCATGCCGACGGAGTACCCGGTCTACACCAACTCCACCCAGCACGCGAACGATGGCATGCAGTAAGTACATCCCCTTTTCTCTCTACATCCTGTCTCCCCAAGTCTCTCAAGTACTGTACTTCTTCAATTTGTTTCCCCGACTCTATATACATTGTTCCCCATCTTCCCCCTCCGCTTCCCCCCCTCGTCTACCCCAGATGGGCTCGTACACATATACCACCATTCTCGTTGTATAGATGACATGGTCATATATGTACCAAATGTATACCTGCCGTCTCAGTCATGAACCTGTCCCGCAAACCTCCAACCCAGGTCGACAAGTTCCTGCTCCACCACGAGTGGCAGGACCCCTGGTGATAGCCTCATTCTTTTCTTCGATACAAACCTAGCAATACCCACCGTCCTGCAGCTCCAACTACTTCATAACACCCCTGCTCTCTTCATCAGCTGAAAGGCACCTACCTCTTCCGCCTTACTTTATCAACTGTCGTCGATTCGGAATGTTCAATGCTGTGCAGCCATGATTGCATCGTGTCTTGCTGTTGTCGCTCTCAGCAATACCAAGTCATATGGGTATGCTAATATTCCTCTGTGATACAGCCCTAACCATCCTTACCAAGCCGACATGTCACGTCGGACTGAGTTTACTGGTTATACGCCGCAGCCTCCGAACCCTGGTGCCCAACTGCACCCATCGCATGGTCAGCAGCACCATCAGCAACTACCTCAGCACCAGCAGCACCAGAACCAGACGCATCAGCAGTCTCACGGTCCCCATGGGCAGCACCCCCATCACCAACCCCACCAGCCTCCACACCCAACACAGCAGCATCATGCTACGCCTGTTCCACCTCCGATGACCATCCCGCAACCCGCAGTTGCGCCGTCTCAACAGTCGACTCCGACCCCAGCCTCCGCTCCGGCTCCGCGTGGCCGTAAGCGCGCCGCACCTGGGCATCAGCAGCAGGCTCATCAACAGCCGCACGCGCCATCCGCTAACCCGGCGACTCCAGCTCCGACGGCTACAACTGGTGCCGCCGCCTCGAGCACTCCTGCTCCTGCACCGGCCCCCACCCCAGTCTCCGCGGCACCCCAACCGCCGATGCAGGTCACTCCCGTCGCCCCGCCGGCGGTTCCCACCAAGGAAGAGGCTAGTACTCCGGTTGTGCCACCCCCGGCCAAGAAGAGCCGAACAAATACCCCCTGGACTCCCGCCGAGGAATTGCGACTCAAGCAGATGAGGGATGCGGGCAACAGCTGGGCAGAAATTGCCAAGGTCAGTTCACTTGAGGCGAATTTTCTTGGAATTCTAACTAACTTGAGCGACAATAGACCTTCCCGACACGAACTGAGGGCAGCGTCAAGAAGCATTGGTACAAGGTATGTATTTGTTTGGTATGCCTTGCGCCCTGTTCCCTGTTGCCAATAACCGTCTAGGATATGCACTACGCCGAGTTTGCCGAAGACGAGAGCCAAGCGCTCCTCAGCGCCATTAAAGATTACGAGAACAACAAGTGGAAAACTATCGGTCAGAAAGTTGGAAAGCCAGCTAAGGTCAGTTTGCTCCCTCTGCTCAATTCACTTGCAATGTTTCGTTCCATTGCTAATCAATATCAATACAGGCTTGTGAGCAATATGCCAAGGAGCATTTTCCAGAACTGTTCTCTACGCAAAAGGCACGTTAAGAAAGCCCAGGCCCTAGGCCCTACATTTCGTTCTGAGTGTCCCATTTCTGGCGTTGGCGCACAAACCCTATATGCTTCGATCTGCTCATTCTTATCAGGTTTTGTAAGAGAACAGGCTCTATGAAGTCATCTTCGGCAGCATCCCACTAGTACGTGGAGACCGGACTTTCACAACTTCGTTACCTCTGGTTGTACCACGACATGGGATGAAGGGAGATTAACGACACGGCGGCGTATCGTCAACTCCCGTTTTCATCTGTAGTTCTGTTTCGGTATACTTATTCGGCAAGGATACGGTTTTCTTTTTCTTTTCACAGCACGATTCCCCCACGGGAGAATGGATGGATTGTTAAATTACGGAATTCGGGAAGAATCAGAGTTGTATTCTGTGATCTCGAATGATTACGTCTCGAGGCATTGTGGTAGGCAGGTTGAGGGATTATTACTACAGAAAAAAGAAGTCTTCTAAAAACCATGGTGATGTTGATGCGTGACTATGGATCAATCAGACGTGCTCTTAGGGGGGTTTAATGCAGAGTTGTTAGGATGCGAAGTCACTTGAGTTACTATGCGATCAGCAGTCAATAGATGAGTCTTTTTAATATCCGCCATTTGCAGGCTGTGGCACTAGGGAATCTGTAGCGGTACCCTCTCCCACAACGGTACTGGGTGTAGAGGTAGCTACTTGAATACTACAGTTATCCATTATGTCCATAAGTATCATGTGCTAAGCTTGCTTATGTGTCCATTGTCTAGAGTTTTCCGCTCGGAGGAATCTTAATAGTGTACGCTACACCCTAATATTAGGCTTGTTCTTGTGTATCGATTTTCCGTTTCTTTTTCTTTTGACTTATTTTATCTAAACACGTATTCGTATACCTATTACTTTGCTTGGAGATTAGATACCAGGTATATAGAATGTATCCGAATTTTACTACATACTTTTCCTATTAAGAATGATAAGATTAAATACAGAGCCATGATATTACTAGTATGTATAAGGGTTACAACGTAACGACAAGAACAGCATAATCATATGATAGAAAATGGAGGCTATTCCCGACTTACGCCAATACACTTTGGTGCCGTTTTGTGTATGCCGCGCCCTAGGTAGGTGAGTTCACCAATATTCCATAAGGATTCCGACAGAATCCCGACACCTTGGATTGTGCCATAACGTTGAGAGAAAACTTTAGCGGCCGCGCAACAACGTTTCCCTACCGTTGGAAAGCTAATCTTGTCAGCCTCTCGGAAGCGATAGGCACAATCGGCTCTAAACAAGTTTGAGGCGTGCCCTCGCCAACCATATAAGATGGCGCTTCCTATCTAGCCCGGCTAGCCGGAAAGGCTGTCTTGTCACTCCCATTGTCTCGGGAACATATAAGGAGCAAGGTAGGTAGATTCTCGGGCGAAGGCAGGACGGGAAGAAAGATTAGACCTAGTCCTATATCTACTACTACTCCCCCCTAGTGTTTCCCCCGTTCTCTCACTATCGTATCATCTATAGATGAGATAGAGGTGAGCGGGGGGAAACAAGAGGAGTTAGGTACCTAGCCGGCCGTGTGTATGTGTGTCGCGGAGGAAAAGGGGGGAAACACGCACGAGCAGACGGACGGACGCTTACATTCAAACGTGACTGATTTGCATGTGCGTTCCCGTCGAGACTAAACTAGGAGACGGGAAAGGCAAATTAGGGGCACAACGATCTTTCTCTAAACCAGATTTTCTTCCTCTGCGCTTGCTGCGATGTAGGAGAATAGCAATTGCTTTCATTATATACCTACCTACCTACCTACTTATCTACATATCGGTAGGAAGAAATGGCAACTTCGACGACAGCGTCGTCGTTTAAGAAGACGACGCTGTCACATGCGCAGAAGTCGGTGCTTGCCATGTCCCGCGCCCAGTACCTTGAGGACATCCGCGGCACGCGGCCCGCTGACAAGCTATACGTGGGCGTATGCATCTTCCGCATGGACGCGCATAGCTCACGGCCCTCGGTCTTGTTACTTCGACGGTCGGATACCCCTGAGGCGGCTTCGTACGCTAATTCCCCTACTACCCCTAATTCTCCTACTACCACTACTGCTTCTACTACTACTGCTGCTTTTAGTGCCTCCCCCTATTCTCGCTGGGGCCGTGGTGACTGGCATAATAAGCAGCACCAGCAACAAGATAGCAACGGCGCGGAAAGGGAAAGGGAAAGGGAGAGAGAAGGCGAAATGGAAAGAGAATATCAGACTAGATGCAACGCTGGCATGTGGGAGCTCCCCGGGGGCAAGGTGCGCGACGGCGATTTCTGCATCTCGGCGGCCGTGGCGCGGCGCGTGGTGGAGCAGACGGGGTTGCGTGTTGTGAGAGTGCTTGGGGCTCTGCAAGATGTGAGACGGGTTGCCGAGGTGCGGATCCTGGACTGGGATGACGACGGCGTGGGTATATTTACCGCGGGCGGGAGTAGTGGGAATTTATCCGTGCTAGATGGGGCGACGTTGACGTCGGCTACGGGGTCACCTGGCGGTGGTAGTCTCGGAGGGAGTAGTGGGGATAGAAGTGGGAGTGGGAGTGGGAGTGGGAGTAGTAGTAGTTGGAGCGGTGGTGCGGGTGGGATAGGGGGAAGAGGAACAGGCGGGTTCAGGGGCAGTAGTGGCTCGTCGCAGTCACGAAGGTCGCCGATACATAATCCGCAACTAGTCCTGCGTATGGAGTATCTACAGCTTAATTACGCGGTGCTGGTGCAGAATCACGAGGACTTGGCTGTGAAGTCGCCGGAGCATGACGAGTTGGTGTGGGCGAGCTTTAGTCGTGCTGAGGCGTTGCCTATGCCGGAGGAACTGAGGACTGTTGTGCATCAGGGGTTGGCGTTTGCGGGGGAGTATTTGTTTTGAAAGGGCATTTGGGGGTACCTATGGATGGTCTGGTTTATTTTGATATCTTGTCTTTATGTTACTTTGCTGCCACTTACACAGGTAGTTACGATATTAAGGGGTCTGAATGTATGCGGGACTAGGGTTGAGATATTGTATATACGAAGTAGGCAGCTTATATTATCTATCTAAAAGCCCCCCAGACAAGTGATCTAAGGGGCTTCCTTTACGTCCTCGTGGGATAGATGATGATATATTAATGGTGCTATGCTTGCTAGAATACTTAGACGTCAGCAGGCTATCTATCCCTTGATACAAAATGTCCTTGGCCTAATTTAGGATCGTATATCGTCTCCTCGGACATATTACATCGTTTCCATGCCGTCGGAAGGCGTGTCTGCTTAACCTTCAACCTACAAGCAAGGCCGGATCCTCCCGTAAAGAAAGTCCGGGGTGCATGAGATTCTGTCTTGTATGTATGCGGCCGTACAGCAATATCGACGCCACCTATCCGATTCTATGTATTCCTGACAGCTTGCCGGGGTTTTCTCTCTTGGCTTTTAATGACTAAGACAGGGAGGCGATGAGTACTGAGCAGTCATGTATGTATGTAATTCCATAAGGAGAGTTAAATGCATATTTTTTTTTCCAATTCGTTCTGAAGGCTGATATGTGTGGTTCTCCTTAAAGGAATCATGCGGTGACACGATACATAATTAAAATGATTGGTCTTCTTATTCTTCTTACCGCAGGTTAAGCCAAGTACCTACTCTCTCTAAGATTTTCCGCGTCTTCCGCTTCGCCCGGCCGTGCTTGAATCGGTGCAGTACATATCGTTCAATATCATTCAAATGCCGGAGCTTACCCTCCTCGCTACCAATTATTCGGCCGACTGTTTTTTTACGGCATAATATTAGTCTGTCATGCATGCTTTTGAGAACAGACATATGCAGATTAGCGGACAGGAGCTGAATATCGTTGACAAGGACCTTGTATTTTAGCTTAGACATGGGCGGCTTGGCATGCTTGTTAGCTGAGTTTCTTAGAATGTCTTGAAAGGAATGTCTTGAAATTTGTAGAAATGTTAAAAACGTGGGTGGTGTAACACTTATACAGTAATCGTCGATCTACAGATTCCTCGATAGCGGCATTGCTAAATACGGGAGGTATGTTTTGGTCATCAGTCAAGTTTGTTAGTTCGATTTGTGAGAAATACGAGATTTTGCAACTGAATGAACACAGTATTAAAACTACAGAAGATATAATATGTACTGTACCATTTTAACACGATCCAGTGAGATGGCGTATAATTAAAGCCCCACCCTTCCGACGGCTGTCAATCGAATTTAAATCTTGGTACCTTTTCTAGCCTGGCTAGCCTTCCTGTCAGTTTTGGTACAAACATTGGTGGAACTCAATTCGCTTTGACCCGCAACGGAATATTTCCACTATTCCCAACCAAGCATCTTACAGTAACATCTCTCTTAATCCTACCTATGTATCAGCGCTGTCACGCTATCCCAACCTATCTTACTATGTATGAAGATCCTAGGCGAATGCGATATCCTAGGCGTTATGCTAGGCTCTCGAACATTCGGGCTTCACGCCATTTCTCTCCCACACGCTCTTTTCTCTCTTCCCTTTCCCCATACTAACCACTCGTATCGGCCCCATAAGGTAGATAGTTTCTCGGTTTGCCAATTTTTTTGGTAATTCCTTTCGCTTTGCCGTTTGTATGCATTTCTGGCAGGTGGTGGCTGCGAGTCTTTTGTGCTCATCGTATTATTCAAATCTTCGCTGGCCTTGCTCTTTGTCTATATTTATAATAATTCAGTCGTTATTCAGATCCTCCAAAAAAAGGGTTCGCCTCTCTCGCTTTCGAATTACTCTCGCTTGAAACACCCGATAAAGCACGGCTATTTTAGTTATGAATACTGAAAAATAGTCTATGCATACATAAGGAGATAGCAGTTCGTCGTTGCTTGTATATATAAGTCGACAAACTTGTTGAGACTCCTATTGTCCCTTCGCCCCTTTATCGGGAATCATACGCACGCCTTCCTCATCCTAGTGTTTGCTTGCCCAAGTATACACGTGTGGAGGAAGTGTCGGCTGCTGTATACTGAGTCAAATATCCACCAATTTATAATATATATACTATTCCCGGCTTCATTCGCTTGATACGCCCACGAGCATCCCGTGCTGTATATACGTACAGAGACGCACGCGACTCAACTGCTCTCGACTACGGTACATATATTACCGATATAATAATACCTTAATATTCGTCACATCAACATGTATAAGATGCTTCGATCGATACCAGCCCTGGCTGTGGCCTTGCTGGGCGCGTCCACTGTGCTCGCTCAAGAGTCCGCGCCTTACTGCTCCCTCACTAAGAAGTGCCCAGAGGCAACTCCCTGCTGCTCTCGTAAGATACAACTCCTACCTGTTTGCGTTAATGCGCAGTTCTCTAACTGGGCCAAACTATAGAATACGGTCAATGCGGTGTTGGCGCGTACTGCCTCGGCGGATGCGACCCGCGCATGTCCTTTTCTCTCGATTCCTGTGTCCCCGAGCCTGTGTGTCAGTCTAGGACGATGAAGATGGACAGCACCGACCGCATCGCTGATGCCTCAAAATACCTTGGTGATCCTTCCAAAGCTGATTGGGTCGCTCAGGGCAACCCTCTTTCCCACAATGGCAATGTGCTCTTGACTATGCCGCCTCACTCCGCTGGAACTGTCCTCGCCTCAACTGTCTATATGTGGTACGGGAATGTCAAGGCTAACATAAAGACGTCGAAGGATGCTGGTGTTGTTACAGCTTTCATACTGCTCAGTGATGTGAAAGATGAGATCGATTTTGAGTGGGTTGGTACCGAACTGGATATTGTTCAGACGAATTACTACTTCCAGGGCATACCCAATTGTAAGACTCTAGTGTATTCAATAGATTATACGAGCAGCAATTCGCTAACTGATTCTATAGATACTCATTCAGGCAACATCACCGACTCGTCCATCAAAAACACTAATACCGAATGGCACACCTACGAGATCAGGTGGACTCCGGAGAAGATCGAATGGCTTGTAGATGATAAGGTTGGTCGGACGTGGGAGAAGTCGAAGACCTGGAACTCCACTAGCAACCAATGGGAATTCCCCCAGACGCCAGCCCGAGTTCAACTTTCTATCTGGCCTGGTGGTGACGAGAAGAACGCCAAGGGCACTGTTGACTGGGCCGGTGGATATATCAACTGGGACAGTGACGCTATCAAGAAGGACAAGTACTACTACGCTACCGTCGGCGAGGTTACCATCGACTGCTACCAGACGGATAAGGCACCTGGCACGAACTCGGGCAAGAGCTACGTCTACAACGATGCGAAGGGTACTAATGATACCGTTGTAGACGGCGACTCCAACACCGTCTTGAAATCGCTACTGGGTACCGGCCTTGATATGGACAAGGACTATCCCAAGGACTCGAGCACGTCATCGGGCACGCAAGATGTTATTCCCGGCCTGAGCGGCGGCGGGCCTGGTACTAATGGACAGGCAGCCGGTGGGAGCAACGGTAACTCGGGTAGCGGCTCGGGCAGCGGCGCTACTACCGCTGGTAGCAGCCCTAACGCCGTCTGCACGGACAGTTTCCAACAGGTCTGTGGTTCCAGTGGCGACGGCAACTCTAACCAAGGTATGCGGCCAGAGCGTACTTTCGGCGCGAGCGCGTTCGCCGCTCTAATTGCCGTTGGTGCTATGCTTTGGCTTTAAATTGCGAATTGAGTTCCTGTGTTATACTTATATGTATATATATATATATATATACCAACCTTACAAAAATGAGTCTATGGGGGTTTCCTTAGGTTCTGGGTCCGCACGATCTCTCGGGCGGCTCTTGTGTATGGACTACGATACCAATCTGCGGAGGTAATGGCACGATGCCGTCCGCTCCTTTTATGGATACGGCTTTGCATATCGATGTGGGTATGCTGCCGAACGAACTACCGAAACGTTGTGCCCTTAGGTACATAGGGTTTAATTAGAGCCGCTAGTATAAATAACTTGTATATAATAAAAAGCAAATTAGGAATACAGATGTTCGATTGGGCTTGGAAATTGATTCTTCGTGAAGTATATGTTAAGGTGTGAATGTGAGGAGAGAATATACTTTTCATACGTTCAACCTGTCGCAAATTCGACGATAGCATAAAAATAGAGAGAAGCTCAATTGTTGACTTTAGGATTTGACGTATGGACTCTTCTATGAATTGTCCTCGGTAGTATCTATAAACCAGCATCTTTATTCATAATCGGTCTATGGTGTTAGGAATGGTATAGAATAGCTCTTTATAGACTATCTTCACTCGTTGGGACTTGAGTAATAATTACAGCCTTCATCTCGGCCTTGCGCATATTTAAAGTCTAGCGTCCGTACAAGATGACCAACGAGCAAAACATATACTTTTTAATGATAGAACAAGAATAATAAAAAGGAGGGCACAAATAGGTCTAGCTGCATAATTGCGACGGTTACACATGTGAGCAACCAACGGATGAATCAGCCATGAAGAAATCCGTCAGCGTAGGTATTCGCCATGGCCTCTGTACGAATATCCCAGAAGCCGGATGGAACCCGTCATAATCGGATGGTTTGAAGGCCGTCTCTCGCGGGTGGGTCTCGGAGCTCCGAGTTACTTAGAATGGAAACCGGGGGGCTTTGCGACTTGAGTTGTGTGGACCATAGGCTAACCCTAAGCTCAATTTAGTAACCGTCATGAGCAACCGAGCGAATGGTAGTTGTACGGGATGTCTAACCCTCCGCAGGTCTGCGGCTGAGCCACCGACGATACTTCACTTTGGGGGCCCCGGATTCTGCGCGAGGTACGAAGTAGGTCTTTGCGACGGTCGTCTTTCGGATCTATGGGACGAGTTGGATTCATCCGCTTGTTATTGGGAATGTGTAACGGTGTAATGGTTTGTGTATTGATGTATAAAGTAATAATATAAAAGACTGTCCTTCCTTTGAAATGGTAGCTGGAGTTTTATACATACATCTTCAGACATCAGAGTCCATTGCAACTTGCACATTATATCGAAAACAGCATAGCATATATTGACACGATACCGACTCATCGTTAATGCACATCTATATACTCAGGACTTACAAGCAGTGATTACAATATATATAACTTACCCTTCAAGTTACCTACGAATCTACGACAGATACTCACACATACACCAAAGCAAATCAACATGGCCTCATCAAGCAACACCAAACTCACCGCCTTCATGGGCGCTTCCGGGGGCATCGGCCTAGGCGCACTAACCCGAGCACTAGCCGCGGGCCACACCTGCATCGCGCTCTGCCGGACTCCATCCAAGCTCACAGACCGACTCCCCGCAGACCAATTCCCAAACCTAAAGGTCGTGCAAGGCAACGCGCACGACGCCGCCGCCGTAGCCCAATGTCTAGTCGTCGGAACCCAGCCCGTCGACGCCATCGTCTCGACCATCGGGGGCGTCTTACAATTCTCGCGCATGACGCTGGACGACCCACACGTCTGCGAGAAGGGCATGACAGCGCTACTAGCCGCCATCTCCCTCGTGCGGGAAAACCACCACCGCACCCCACTTACCACAGAACACTGGCGTCCGCGCGTCACCGTGGTAAGCACATGCGGGATCTCGCGGTCGGCGCGCGACGTGCCCATCCTGTTCGTGCCTATGTACAAGATCATGCTGCGGGTGCCGCACGAGGACAAGATCGCTATGGAGAAGCTACTCGTGGACGGGGCGGGCGACCGTGGCTACACGTATTCGATTGTGCGGCCTAGTTTCTTGGTCGACGAGGCGGCGCCGCGGAGGGAGATTCGTGTGGGGCTGGGGGATGCGCCGGCGGTGGGGTATGTGATTTCTAGGGATGATGCGGGGAGGTGGATTTATGAGAATTTGTTGGAGGGGAAGGGGGACGGGGGGATGTATGAGGATATGGTTGCTACGATTACTTGGTGAGGTGAGGTGGAGGTGGTGGATTATACGGTGTATGTAATGTGATTCTGGGATTGCTGTGAATTCAGATGGCGTTGGTTAGACGATGGTGTTTTGTTTGAAGGATGGGATGTAAAACGGTGTGTGATTTGCTGGCGTCATTTAGAGGTTATTTCTATGGTCAGAATAGACAAATAGACAAATAGACAAATAGACAAATAGACAAATGGAACGTTTCAAGAGCTGCCAGTTCCGTCTAGTCGGGATCCTGTGTATAACTAAGTTTGTTGGTGCATTTACATATGCAGATATGACAGGTACATGTAACTTTCCCGTCTGGAGAGGAGGTGGCGCAAGTCAGACGATTGGCTCTTAAAAGCTCCCCAATTCACTATACATGCGCCTATCAATCCTAAACAAGCCGAATCCACACCGAGGTCGCGATGATCTTTTCCCGTCTGTAATACATAGGGGAATCGTGGTCTATGACGATGTTCCTATTTAAGCATTGTCCACTTGAGGATTTATTGAACTTACAAGTTACAACCAACCAAAGCGGCGCAAACATAGGTAGGTTAGGTAGGTACCTAGTTAATGTTGCACTTCTTAGTCAGATGCATGTGGTCTCTTCCATTTATATCGTCTCTATATTCACCAATGAAAGTTATGCTGGGCACGGTGTATTTAAGTCTGTTCGAAATAGGGAGGTGTCATCTCGAGCTAAGAAAAAGGTAGCGCTAAATGCTCTGCTAAATAGGTACCTAATGTGAATAATAAAATTTGAACTAAACACTTCCTTTTGCCTGGTCATTCTCTATTTATGATCGTGTCTTCGTTCTTTTCCATTTTTCCTGGTTATTTCTTCTCACTCGTATCCTGGAATTGATGCAACTTACAGCTTCACGTGGAGGTTGAAGGTGAGTAAGAATAAGCAAAACCCACATTCCCTTGTTTAAATCGCTTAGGTCTAATAATCAATAGATAGATATATTCATTTGTTATTTCGAAAATCATTTGTTCCTTGTCCAAAGAAATTAGGTCACATCGGGAACAACTACCTTGTCATTCATTATCATTATCAGTATTATTCTTTGCAGTCCGACTTTCAGTGTTAGTCACTGAAGAATTATCGCCAAATTCCTTGTTGACTTCTGCTCATAAGTTAGCCTCCAGCCATTTGTTTTGCTATAAAGGCCACGACAAATTTACAATTTTTTCTCCCTTCCTTCCCTATTTTTAGCTACATTAGGTACTTGTTAAGCAAGCGCTATCTAAGCACATTTTGTATCATAATCTAACTTTCTATCTTATCATTTTTCTACCCCTCCACAATTCTAAACCTAAACATGAAGGGAACTATTGCAGCACTTCTCCTTGGCACGGCCTCAGCGATGCCGTCACTTATACCTCGCGAAGATGCTCCGGCAGCCGAATCTCGCAAGCTCGTCATCGGCGCTCCTTTTCAGATCCTAACTGCCGATTTTGATGGGTCAAAGTTCTCCATAACTGGAAATCATACCGCTTCTGGGACAGCACCCAGCTGGCTACTCTTCAAGGAACCAAATCTTCTGTATGCTGTCAACGAGAATGCCAACGACACTAGTCTCTTCACGCTCGACTCGGGCAAGCCGACTCTTGCTTCCGCCGCGAATGGTACATCCGGTGTCGTCTTCCTCGAGTTCAACGGCGATAAGACCCGCATGGTTGGCGCCGGTTACGGTAGTGGTACTATTGACGTCTGGGATGTCTCGGCCGCCGATGGTAGCATGAAGCACCTGAAGAGCGTTATTGTTCCGGGAGAGCCTAACCCTGCTCAAGGAGCTCACCACCCGCATCAAGCTCTCCTCGACCCAACTGGTCGATTCTTTGTCATTCCTGACCTGGGTGGCGACACGGTGCTAGTGCTCGACAGCAAGGATGACCGGTATGAATTTACCGGCAACGCAACCCTGCCTACCGGCACTGGACCCCGCCACGGCGGCTTCATCTCGGACGGAGACGACCACTACTACACGCTAGCTTCCGAGTTAACTAGCGAGCTGTTCCTATTCAAGCTCACCTACACCGAAGACTCGATCAGCTTCAAGCAACTCCAGAAGCAGAGCACCTATGGCGCCGTCCCAGCGGCCAACTCCAGCTCCGCAGCTGCGGGTGAGCTTGTCGTCGCCGCAAACCAGAGGGATGTGTATGTGTCGAACCGAATCAGCGGCAACGAGACAGACAGCATTGCACACTTTGTATTCAAGAAGGGCGCTAGCAAGTGCAGCGCCGCTCACCTCGACTTCGCCGACACTATTTCGTCCGGCGGCCTGCGCCCGCGCATGTTCAGCCTGAGCAAAGATTCCGACCAGACCCTAGCCTTCGTCACGAACCAAGGCGGCGACAATGGTCTCCTCGCTTTCAAGCGCAACAAGGACTCGGGTTCCCTCGACCCAACGCCCGTCGCTACCATGCCCTACAAGTCGCTTGTAGCCCCCGAGCTCGCGGCTACCGATCTAATGGGCCCGCAGTTCGTGCAGGAGATCTAAATATTAAATCATGAGGGAAATCATGGAAAATGCATTGAAAGCGGACGAATTTGCATCGATGGCGGCGTTTGGGTTTTCGTGATAGTTGACTAGGCTGGCTTTTTTCGCCTAGGTCGCTTTCTATTCGTTGATTTGGCCCTCAGGGGCATTGAGATGTACATAGCAATATCAATTTTATTTTTACTATCGTGCCTAGTTGTTAGATGGTCTTGATGCTGCTTAGCTTTCCTGTGAATTGTTCGGTGATCGTAGTTAGCTGTTTTTCCCGATGATATATATCTATTTTTGATGTTTTGATAGCTTACCCTGTTTATGAACGCCTATTAACCTAGTGGAAACAGGTGGGTAAGTATCCGTTATAAACACGTTTTGCGGTGGAGTTAATCTTGGTGGATTACTAGTAGCCAAGTCTGATAGCAGCCATGCCGAATATAGATGGGAATTAGCTTGCATATGTGCCTAAGCCTAGATATATTTCCCCTTAGGGAAATCGAAGTGGTCTAGCCTTTAGATGCTTGGTACCTAGTTGAGTGGAGGATGAAGATACAATTACATTACATGTACGAAAAGGGCACTCAAACTCTACCGGACAGCCAGAAGAGATTGTATATCGCCACGCCTTAATAATATGGATATTATCGTGATACAGGTGAGGTTTGGCAAAATAAGAATTGAGTACCCCCGACGCAGATCGATCGGGAACGAGACGATAAAGGTGCTGTCATGATGGCAGAAGCTTGTCGTGAGGCGATCTGCAATGTAACCCTCCTAACCATCAATTTCGACGACCACGACGCACAAACGGTGGAGACGATGGTCCGGGGAATGAATTTAATTCGATCTAGGATATTAAAATAAGATACCGGTTAATCTGTCATTGTTCTTGTTCTTGCAGGTTGGATATGTCGTAGAATTTGCAATATACTCGTCCAAGACGTCAATCGAGATCCGGCCGAGGCCAAGTATTAGGCCTACCAAGTCTAGTAGGTATCAACCCCAGATTGTTTCATAGCGGCATAGTTAGGTACCAACCAATAACTTGTTTAGTCGTTCCGCATGACTTGACTAGACCAACGAAGCCTTTTCGTAGGGCTTGGATAGCTTGATGTTGGAGATATTATCTACCTGTTTTACGTCATAGACAGCCGGATGCGGGAATTGAAGATTTTCGAAAAATCAATCTGTCAATCTGCGTACAAGTTCTCTCCATCGAGGTCGCGATACACGTGCATTGGTGGATCTGATATTCTACTAGGGTACGACTTGATTGAGAATACCCGCATTCCTCATAGTAATCTCTCGTTTAAAGATGTTGCGCGCATATGAAACAGCATGTTGACTACCTATCGCGGCCATGGTACTAGGTATGTAGTGAGGTTTACAAGTCGGCAGAGCGGCATTCTTGATATCAATTCACATACGAAAAAGGGGGTCCTAAAGCTGGCTTGATCCTGGTTTTTCCGTCACTCGCGTCGTAGTTAGGTGGTGATATGTACCTGTCTTGATTATCACTGGACTAGAACTAAACGATTTCAGCTTCTAAAAATTGATTTTCTTATTAGCTCCTTAGCTCCAATGGTATCGGGAGCTTGGGCCAGCACGGGGAATGCGACGTGCGTTCCACTGTTATTAGCTAATGCAAGTTACTTAGTGGTCTTGTTACATGTACATAGTGATGCCAGAGTACTTCTATGACGTACTAGATTAAACAACTCTAGGTTTCACGTCATCAACACCTAATAGTTCAAGTACTCCAAGCACAGGTTTTGGACTTGAGCAAGCACGACCAAGATGGACAAATACATCAGAGAAGTACTTAGTATTAGTAGTAAAGAGAAGTACTTAGTATTAGTAGTAAAGAGCAGTACTCAGCCATGTACCTTAGGTACTGATTTATGTCTGCCATGGAAGGAGTACACTATAGCTCTTCGGCCAGCTGCATGCGCTTACATATATATTGTACCTTTACGTCTACTTACGATTACTTACATTTGAACTACGTCAACGTATAATAAACACCATTGTCCTCCCCCAGACCTCAAATTTCATCTCTCCTCTTCTCTCTTCCTCACCTAAGAAAGATTAGGTATACATTGTGAACTCACAATCTAATAACAACTTTGTACCCGCTTATCCTAATATACCAATATACCCTCACTGTGATACCCAAACCCGATTCTATGCTTTGCGCCATCGTCGAACATCCAACTAAGAACTGATATCAATATACCCTATCTACATATCCCGACGCCATCATGGCAAGCGTAAACAAACCAACCGACATCAAGCAGAAGGAAGCCGACGTCAACCGAAAGCTTCAGATATACGGCATCATCAACGCATTCCAGATTGGTAAAGTGCCATCTGTAAGTGCCCTCCCATATATAGACATATATGGAACCCCTATTCAACAACATAAAGCTTACACTAGATGTCACAGAATGATCAAATAGATGTCGCCCTGAACAGCTTCCTCGAGTCTGGGGCGTTAGCAAGTCCCTCGAAGAGACTTTCACCAGATGGACAAGAACTTGTCGCAGACTTGAAGGATGTTGTGACTCAAGCTAAGAAGCTGCTACTATCCAAGAACGAGGGAAACCTCCTACAGGATTTCATCTGGCAGACCCAGCAGTTTGACCCTAATACCTTGAGCGTACCTAATTCTCCCATCGACAAGAATACGGCGAAGCAACATGGAGAAAAGGTTCTAGAGGGGTTTCGGACTCTAGGAACATTGATTATTACCAATGGCCAGTTCCGAAAGCTTCGTAAGTTGATCACTGACTGCCTACGCGGTAATGAACACAATCGCTAATTGTTTCTTAGTCAATGATGCTACCATCCTACTACGCGACATTGCTGGCGATGCCGCTACTAATGCTGCGAACATGGTGCGGCCTAGCGGCGAGGACCTCTCTCAGATTGATCGACCTGCTGAGGACAACGTCTGGCACGATACTCCTGATTTCTCCAGGGAAAATGTGAGGTCTCAGTTCCAGAATATTTACAAGAAAGACCCAGCACAGGATGCCAAGGGTGTCGTAAACGCCGGAGCCGGAGCTGTTAGACAACCGGACGGGTCTGCAGGTGATCGCATCAATGCCGCACAAAATGCGACAAGCAGCGCTGCAGAGCAAGCCAAGTCTAACATCGATCCGGAGACCCGCGAATCTGCGAAGCAGACAGCTCAAGAGTATCGCGCTCGCGCTAGACAGTATCTGTCGAAGAAGATGCCCGAGGAGCGTCGTGGTCAGACCATCTGGCGTCTGAAGGTAAGCAACCCTCCCCTTAAACATGATTACTGGTACTAACCAAAAAAATTAGAAATTGGTCATCGAATGCCAGCAACACCCTGACTACCAGCAAGCCATTTCTACGCTGCTAGATTTGGCTGAGCAGTATGGCTCCCATGGCAGGAGCCTTGCTACCGGAGGTACCGGTACTGTCAAGGAGGCACGAACCCACCTGGCTGCTGCTGAAGCTGACCTGAAGGTATGTAGAGCTTACTCTTAAAATATGAGAGAGACGAAGCTAACTCCGTGCTAGACCTTGATTGAGAGATTCGCCAACGGAACATCTACTGATGATCTCTGGTCTTCTATCAACACTATCTATGAGGATGCTGATAGGGATCCCGAACTCAATAATTGGTTCAAGTCTATGAACGCTTACATCCGCAAGTGTCTCAAGGAGCAAGGTTACATTATGGAAGATGCTTCTAACGAGCAGTGGCACCGTCTCCATGACCATGGCCACTATCTCCTCCGTGAGAAGTATAAGACTCACACTGATCGCATTGTTGACGAGATCAAGTTCTTGGCCGATCAGTTCGATCAGGACTATCAGAACAAGGCCTTCGCGGCTTCGGTACAGAAGTTGTTCAACAAGCTTGGCAACGATGAGAATGGCAAGGCAACTTTTAAGCCTCACTTGGTCAAAGACCTGGCTGATGTTATCATCCCGGCTGCCTTTGAGAGAATTGCATACATTCCCATTCCCCGGATTGAGTATTCCGACAGTGAGATTGATGCCGTCGTGGAGAATCTCGTTTTGGAGAGTGATAACTTCATGCCGAACGTCCTCGAAGTTGCCAGCGACAACTACTTCCGCTGGGGTCGCAAGAAGATTGCGAGCACAAACAAGAACTCGATCGACGTCAAAGTCACTGGCATCCAGATGGATCTGCGCGATGTCAGCTTCTACGTCAAGCGCAAGCAAGGCTTCCCCTCAATTACCGACACCGGCGTTGCTAACATCAGGATGGGTGGCGATGGGTTCTGCTTCCGCTTGAGAATGTCTACTGCAGATGATAAGGACAGGCAGCACTTCATGAAGCTTGATAAGGTTGATGTTGATGTTAAGAACCTCCAGATCAAGCTTGTCAAGTCCAACCACAAGATCCTCTTCGGCCTCTTCAAGCCCCTGATGCTTAAGGTTCTCCGCCCAGTGATCCAGAAGACCGCCGAGAAGCAGCTCAAAGATCAGTTTAACAAATTTGATCAGCTGCTATATCAGGTCAAGCAGGAAGCAGATCGCGCGGTCGATGAGGCTCGCTCCGACCCCGAAAACGCTCCGAACATCTACAACCGATACGTCAATGCTGTTCAGAAGCAATTCTTCCAGGGTAAAAAGAAGGCAGAGGCCACTGCGGCCGACAAGAAGGTCAACATGGCCGTCACTGAGGAGGACAGTAATTTCCCCAACATTCATCTGCCTGGAGGTATCAGCTCTAAGGCCACCGAGTACAAGGAGCTGGCCCGAAAGGGTGAGCTTTGGGAGAGCCCCGTCTTCTCCATCGGCGCAGCTTCTAAGAGCACCAACCTTCCCGGTGCTCCTCAAGTTACCCGCAAGCCGCACGCTGTCAACGGCAATGCTACAAACGTAACTACAAACGTAAATTACACTAATGGCAATTACACCAATGGAAACTACACCAACGTTAACCACGCCAACAGTAACTACACAACTGGAAGAACTATAGACGGAAAGTAATCTAATCCTGTTACTGGACCCATCGCCACCACCGGCCCCGTGAGCACTACTGTTCCTGCCGTAAGTGGCAACACTATTACGATCTAGAGGGTGTATGAAGTGTGATAGTCACTCCTTTTGGATACATCTTGTACGATATGATGGAGATGGGAACGGAGGAAGAACGAAGTCAGAATCAGGAAGTTCCAGATGTGGATATACCCGGAGATACCCCCAGGACCCAGATTGGCTTCACCTTTTTTTAAAAGTTGCTAGGGAAGAGCGTCGGTTGGCAATGATGATACCTGTCCTTGTCTTAATTACTTTTGAATATCATATTTTCCTTTTGTTTCGGCTATATGGACAGCTCGTAATAGTTGAGTAATGAACGTTGGGCACATTTATAAGTTAATGGAGGTTGTGAATATTTAGGCTCGTTATGTGATGATGCCTTGAAGGCGTCTGTATGAGTGGCTAGCGGTGATAATTGTTAAATTGTATTAAAATGATGATTGGACTAAGTAAACAGTCTCGTGTTGGCTTATAATGGGTAGCAGGTTACGAGAAAATAATGACAACTAATATACTTGTAGGGCCAATGGAGACGTGATGATTGAGATGCCTAAAATATGAGTAGCTGAAACTGCACTGTTAGAGTAAGGATCAAAATAAGTCAAGGTCAAATTCAAAAAGAAATGAAACAGAAAGACGTCAGGAACAATTACGTTTCCACTAAATTGGAAAATGAGAAACTTTATGAATTGAATATATATCTAAGAGCAGTATTCCAATTGATCGTGGTATCTCCGCTTCGATGATCAATATCACAATACCAATGCCCAAAGTCCTCTTCAGCAACTCCAAAACCCCCTTGCTAGAAAGTACCAACATCCATCGCCATGCGTATATGTCCCTCTAGGTAACTAACCAACCAATCAATCAATCATTCCCAAATCCGTTTCTTCTTCGTACAACTGCGTAATATTTTGAACATAGGCACCTCATATATATTTGTACATCATCGTCTAGCCGTGGTAAGAATGAAACGCGGAGGTCAAACCACCCGGCCACATTTCCCGCAAAGTAACTTCTTCTTGCCCCCGATTTTCTTCATCCTGAACTCTCGACTGCCGCATGCGCGGCACTGCATGTCTTCGCCATCCTCGCTAGTTAATTCCGAGCTCACGTGGCTGACGTACGAGTCAGGTCGAGGAGCAGCGGGCTTGAGAGGAGCTAGATGGTTACCTTCCTGCGCCCGTGACAATATCGCCCCCGCCGGCAGACTCTTGCGGCGATTAGCTTTTTCGGACGTGTCGTTTTTATCGGGTTCTTCTGTATCTACTGCTGTGCTCTTTCGTCGACTATCCTTGCCCACCGTTACGTCAGAAGCTAGGCCGGTGCTCGCAGAACGACTATGCGTCGAATCAGGGGTTAAGCCATGAAGGCCATTGCCTCGCGCCTGGCTACTATTTCGCCATCTGTTAAGATTCCAGAACGAATAGCTTGCGCCGGCAGGGTCTAAACGTAGTTCGTCTTCTTCCTCGTCCAGTGGACGGAATGAGAAGCTCGGTGTTGGTGGTATTAGTGAGTCGTGCAAATTTGAACGGTCGGTGATACCATTTATTGGTTTACTAGCAGAAGGGCTTGCTGGCGCACTAGGAACCGACATGCTTGCGTAATGATGTCTTCTTGTATTTGGAGTGATATTTGCGGGAGTACGAGCCGCTTTACTCGGTGACAAGGACCGTTCGCTACGCGCAGGGGTTGAGATAGTTACGGAGACCGGCCTACCCGCATGTCCTTCGACGCCGTGCCGCCATGTATTGATTCTATCCGAGTTGGCCTGGAATATACCCTGAAGCGGTTGCGTGAGTGAACCTCGGCGAGAATGCGGATCTCGGCTACTAGCACTGATTCGCGTGGCTATGCTACCGCTTCGTCCGAGCAAGCTATCTCTTCCGAGTTTCCTAGAGAACGTCGAACCAGTCTCCCAATTATCATGGCGGCGCTTGACGAAGGCGCAATCTTGGCGGAAGACCTTGATTAGACCTGCGTGATCAGTAGTTACGACGATATTACCATCGTAGTGAGCGGAGCGTGCGATATACACCGGAGACTCTTCGGGCTTTTTTATTTTGGCTGAGCCTTCAGACTGCGTATCTTGAGACTCTACCGTCCGAGTCACAGCCGATTCCTCTTTGCTAAGTAATGTTACCGGAGGAGGATTACATAGCGTAAATATAGGATCGCCAGAAGATTGCAATAACTGTCGCGTCGCTGTCGGAGCAAAAATGGCACCAGTAACAATGTCAGAATGGGCCTCGAAGTATTCGCAAGACCTCTTTTCCTTATTCTCGGCAAGTTTTGAGCTGGTAGACCATACGAACGCTCTCTTATCCTCGCTTCCACATATGATATAATTGCCCTCGTCGCTGAACGAGGCTCTGATCTGGCTACACGCATTTGTGTGGCCCTTGAGCTTCAAATCAAGATTCTTGTCGCCCATATTGTAGATTCTGATCCGGGAATCATTTGATGTGATGAGAACCTTCACCACGCCGTCAGGGGCGTCCGGAGGGAATGCCATTGTTTCAATACCCGTGATCTTACTTCCTTTGGCATTTTTGCCTCGTGATGACCGCACGTGAATCTGTGTATGATATTTGAGACCCTCGGTCTCATAAAACATACAAAATCCGTTCGAGCACCCTGCTATCGCAGTTCTTCCGTCGGGGGAAAATGCAACGGCAGTAATGAAATCGGAGAGCTGGCTCGAATAAGCGACGGCCTTATCTGGAATGCTCCATAACCGCAGGTAAGAGTCAAGAGAACCTGCTAAGAAGAACCTGTCGTCCCGAGGATGGAAGGCTATAGATGTAACGAAGTCCTTGTGCTTGAATGTGCACAAGCATTCCTGTCTACTTATATGCCATAGGCGAACGGTCTTGTCCATCGACGAAGAAAGGAGGAAGTTGTTCTTGCTCCAACTGAGATCGAGGATGTCGCCCGCATGGCCAACAAATTCCCGAATCGGTTTCGCGTGAAATACCGGCGCGCTTAGACGCTCCTCTTTCTCGCTGGTAGCATTTTCTTCCTCTTCATCCACCTTTCTATCTTCTTGCGTTGCGATAACTGCCCATATGCGTACAACCCGGTCTCGACCTCCGGTGGCTAGGTATTTTCCATCTTTGCTAAACTCAACAGCCCAGATAGGGCCTCCTGGTGCTGGTTTATCCTTGCTAGGCTCCTGTACTGCTGCGGTTCCGTTGTCGGTGCCTGCCTGGCCATCCTGAATCGGCTGTTGCGTCCCTACGAGCTCCTGCGCGAGAAACATGCGGTTGAACTCCTTAAGTTTCTTATTCTGCGCTCTAACCCTGATATATCGCGGTGGCTCTTTGTGATGGGGGATGTAACCGCCGGCGCCAACAGTAGAAGAAAACGCAACGGCATTCGCGCCCTCGGTTCTCATTTCGCTGATTTCGGATTCATCGTCATGAATACCATAGTCTTTCTTCTTGCCGCCGATCATGCTAAGGCGACTAAGGAAACCCCCCTTCCTATTTTCAAGGAGCTTGTCAGTTCATGATGAACTCTCCACCTAGCTAGCCTTATATAAACATACCTTCTATCCTTAACGTGATCGAGCTGAGGGGTCACTTGTTTGGTAGGCACATCGGAGGATAGACGAGGTAGCGCCTCATTAGCAGGACTATCAGGCCGTCCGGGGTTGCGAAATCTCGAGGCGATAGATCGATCGGTATTGGTCCTCGCAAATATATGCTAGGATAAACGAGTCAGCTCCCATAGTCGGGAAACTAGGAGATGAAACATACGTGAGATAATGGATCGAGTGCCGGCGAGGGTGTAAGTTGCGCACTGGTCCGCGCCCCGGGATCTGCGTCCTTTCTATCTTTTACATCCTTTCCTCCCGTATCCTTCCGCGTAAGTTTATTTGTGCCTCTCTTCCCGGAACCTTTAAGCAGTGTGCTGGTACCTTGTTTAAGGTGGAGTGTTAGCGAAACAGCCTCTAAGGTAGGATTGCTGGGACGTTTATAAAATGAATAAAAGGGTGGTATGAGGTGGTGACCCGTAAACATACTCGGATCATCAGAGATAGTAGGTGACCGTCCCAGATCATGAAGCGAGTCCAATCCATTGTGGTTCGATTTCGTATTAACATGGGTAGCGGTGAGATCGTCTTGGTGAGTGCGCGCGACCTCGGTGGCCGGTGAGGAGGTCGACATATTCCATTATCTTACCACAACCGCGGTCACCTAGGAATAGGGTCCAAATTTGGTCTTTCGCTTGGGCGCAATGGCGCTCTCGTCGAGTACATATATAATATATAGTCGTAAAATAGACGGTTAGCTCAGATAATATTTCGCGATCAGTGGTTTCTAGTTTGCTGCAAGATATCGTAGCGCGTAGTCTGTCTTGCTATGTTTTGCTCCGTCACATCCGTAGTCAAAGGAATGCCTTAAAGATTTCAGTGCTCAAATGTCTTAGTCGTAAATAAGAGTCAAATATACATCCGGGTACATGGGAATAGTAACCATCCCAACTAGCTAGTCTAGTGAATCATGGGTAATGAGAATATTATAATTAGGTACAATTGCGTATATATGTATGGTATGGTAGAGTGATTTAAGGCTGTCTTGTCAGGCTAGAAAGATGGAATGCCGCGGGTGGCGCGAGTTGGGAAGAGCGTTGCATTAGGGTAGCTTCGATCGAAACGGAAATCGCAAGTTAATACGTAAGACTTCCGTATTTCCTCTTGAGCTGAACACCGTATCCTCCTTACCAACCTGGTCAGCCTAGGTACCTAGGTAGGTAGTCAGTATATATCCTAGTCAAACGGCTTTTAATAAGGCGTTTAGAACTGAAGAGAAACGACGGCGCGTAATGACGTAGAGTCCACTTTTCTTTGTATGTACTTAAATTAATTTTAGTTTTCTTTCATGCGCGCCATCTTCTCAATTCGAGATATATGTGCGTCATTATATGCCATGCCTCCAACCAAATTCACGTAATATATAATTTCCATACATCACCCACTTAGTTGTTTAATCAAACTACATGAAGAGGTCACGTATAGAACACAATAATTAACGTAGCAAACCTAGCAAGATATTGCTTCAAGTGGCAATTTAATTAGGGAGGTAAGTAGAAAAGAATTCATATTATCATGTTCTCCGTCTCAGCATTTCCATCGGCAGCTGCTTCGTCGTCTTCGTCTAGATCTAGCATAGGGTATGTAAGTATAGCAGCGATGCCTCCTAAAGCATCTAATCGTTGCCCGCTCTCGTGATCACTGCTAAGTATCCTAGCCTCTCCTCCGTCCTCTTTTACCTTATCAACCATGGCCACGTATCTTCTTCTTGTCGCGATATCCATACTTCGGAATAGTGAATTATTGATCAACAAGATACCACCTCCTCTACCAACGGCACCTTCCCGGACGGCTTTCTCAACCGGTGCCGTACCGTACCAGGCTCGGCCATCATCTTTTCGTAACTTGTCAAAGAAATCGTCCATAAATCTTGTCTCCTTAGAGAACTTCATGTCCTTCATAGTTGCCATGACCTCGGAACTTTTGAGTATCTCGTTCAGGCTGTGCAGGTGCCCAGAACTTGAATGTACTACCGTCGCCCCTTTAGCCATAGCCATCATTGTTTTGTCAGCCCTTCGGGCACCTTCATCCGATATGTACTTTTTAAAATCTCCCGCGACAAACCCGGGACTAGCAAGTAGTAGCGGTCGAGGGACCGAGAAATCTATGCTGCGCATTAAGGTGCTCAAGGTCTTTTCGAAGAATCGCTTCATTCCCGAGTCCTGTTCTGAACTACTCGACCTCTTCTTAGGTATCGTACTATCTACCCTTTGTTTGAGTATGGTACGGTATTCGGTGATCAGGCAGATATTCGCGATGCCTTCCTGCATCACAACAGCCGCCACGGCGCCCTCCTTGTCCTGTTTCAGCGCATCTGCGAGCGTTTCTTTTGCTACCGAATCCCAACCGTAGTTTTTCCATAAGGTGAAGGGCCGGTTCAGCTCGAGGTCAAGCGTGTGGTACTGCCCGAGGCTGACAAAGTTGTTCTCGACGATCACAGTGCCTGATACATGTAATTGCGATGCGCCTGGGTCGAAGAAGGTCGAAGTGACTCGTATCGTAAGATCGGTATGTACCCTCTCTGAAATTGTACTTCCCGTCTTTGTTTCTGTCGTCACTTTTCGGATCGCATGCGCCTTGACGACATCTTGGGGTCCTATTAGATTGTTTGCGTGCCACTTGGCATGTTAGATTGTATACCAATTGATTAAGGTGTAGACTTACCATGTCTTCCGGCTCTACAGGAAGCAGAGTGACGCTCCCTTCGCCTATCTCATCTAGGCGTTGCGACGCCTTTGATCCAACAAGCTGCATAGCTGACGGTTTATTTATCGGTATAAATCTCCGCTATATTATTCTTTCTAAATATACGAGCGCACCACTTTCGAGGGAGGGTATAAGAAAGATGAGAGTAGATGTTTACTAAATAGGAAAAATAAAATAAATATAGATAGTTTGGATTTAAGGTTCGACGCTTAAATTTTATAGAGTTTTAAACGTGTAGGGAATAGGACGTGCAAATGATTGTTAATGTGTACACAATGATTGTTCTAATGGACAATAGTTGTATAATGAAGCTTTCATTAGAACTACGAAGTACCTATTGAAAGAAATGCCCCTCACCCCACCATTGGTCCGCCCCCGCTACCCGATAGTAGTTGTTAAGCTGTAGATAACAACACCCCGCCTATAGAGAAGTTAATAGCAGCAAGATTTATCTCAGTAGCTCAGACCAGTAATGCGAAATTTGGGTTCGTCTCGTTGTACCCTTTTAGCCACATCACTTTTTGACCAATCATACCCTTGACTTACCCTCACAAAAAAATTTCGCACAGAATTCGAGAAACACTCAAGTCGTGACCCACAGATACAAACACACGGACCATGCGTTTTGTGGCGCTGTGGCGCCAGCCAGCGGGCGAAGCCCGCTTCTCGAATTCTGGTCTGAGCTATTGAGATAAAGCAAGATCAGCCATTATGTACTATAAGAGCTATTGAGGGCCAATGACGTCAATATAAATTAAAAGTTGATGTATACCTCTTATATACCTGTACTATGTACCATGTACTGTGTTAATATATGAATATTATAGCCGCCAACTAGATAAAATTGTCCCGCAATTTTCAACAATAAAGTCCATGTATATAAATGAATGGTTTTGGTGTATATGTAACGGGGTTTTTTTTTTACGTAAAATATTCGACCATGTTACTTTAAAAGGTATATATGTAACTTACTTACATTAACGCGTTAATATAAAATTAAAACATGATTTTAAAGATAATTTTAATAATTTAAAATGATTTTAATTACGTAAATAACTTTTAACGATTTTATAAATAAGTAATGTTTTTAACGAGATTTTTATACGATTTAATGATTTTTTTAAATTAAATATAATTATATAAAAATATATTATATTTAAAAAAATAAAGTTATAAAATTTTAAAATTATATATAAAATATAAAAGTTTTAAAAAATAAAATATTTATTTTTTTAAAATAATTATATATTTTTAATATAATTTTGGAAATTATTTTAAAATTTTAAAATTATATTAATATAAAAATATATATATTTAATAAAAAATAAAAAAATATATAAACGTATATATTTTGTTAGAATATTATTAATAGGTAATATTTGATTGGTTATTTAACCGCGAAATTACTTTATAATAATTTATTAATTTATAAATGGGATTGTAAGATTTATTAACTTTGGTTAATTATTTATACTTTTATAAAATAATCGGTTATGTAAGCGTAATTTTTATTAAAATAATAATATAATAAATAATATAATATTTTTTGGGAATATTTTCATTTTTAAATATTGTTTTTTATATGTAAACTTTATTTTTTTAATATTAATTAATAGTTGATTAAATAATTATAAATAATAAGAAATTTTAATAAAAAATAAATACGTTTGTTTTAAAGTATTTAAAATAAAAAAAGTTAAAATATATTCATTTTAAAGTAAATTAAACTATTTTAAAGTTATTTAATAATGATAAATAACAGATAATTTTCGAGTTTAATATGCGTTAAATATTATAAAATAATAATTTACGTTTATTATATATAAAAAAAACTTTTTTTTTAACAGTTTTGTTATTGTTTTTTTATATTATTTAATTTTTTATTTTTATATATTTTATACCATTTATATAATTATTTAAAATGATTAAAACTTTTTTTAAATACGTTAAAATTAAATATAAAAACTATTATGTAAATTTTTTAATATTTTTAACGGATATTTTAAATGTTAAAAACGTTTTTTTATTTATATTTGTTAAAATTTTTTAATATTACAAAAATATTTTATATAATAAATATTTATAAAAGGTTTATAAAAACGATTTTTAAGGTTAAATATTTAATTATTTTAAATTTATTAATTATTACTTATTAATAAAAAGTTATAAATTTTTTAAAATTTATGGTATTATTATTTTTTATAAGTTTAATACGTACGTTATTATTATATATAAGATTTTTATAACATTAATTTGGTTTTAGTTTTTTAATAAAAACGTTTAAGATTTAATGAAAATATTAATAATTTTTTATAACGTAAACAACTTAACATTTATTAAAGAATTTAAATAATAATAAGTTTTTTTATTGTTAAAATTAATAGCGGTTTATTAACGTTATAAATTATTATTATTATAAGTTTTATTTTTTATTTTTTTATAATAATTACAAAATAAAGTAAAAAAAGTGGATTTAAAAGTTAACATTAAATTTAAAGCGTTTTTATAAGTAGTTAAACTTATTTAAATATTTATATTTATAAAATTATAAGTTTATTTTAAATAATTATAATATATAATTTTTAAAAAATTCCTTATAAATTATATCGTTATTTTATATTATTTAATAACTTTATTTAATAATATATAAAATAAAGTTAAATATTAATAAAGTAATAATTTTAATTATATTTTATTTTATTAATATTTTTTAATAAATTTATTAATGTTTAAAGTTTTAACTATATTTTCAAAATTATATTATAATAATAAGTGGAAATATAATAATAAAAAATATAATAATTTTAATAAAAAATTACAAGTATTTAATAATTTATATAACGCTGTTAAATTATTTTTTAAAAATTAAAATATTACTTATTTTATTATATTAAAAAAAAAGGCATTAAAGTATTATTATATAAAATTAATCGTAAATAGTTAATAATAATATTTATTTAATAAAATAATTTATTATATAAAAGTATTTTTTTAAATTATTAAAAAAAAGTAAATATATATATTAAAATGGTTTAATATAAATATTTTTATTATATAAATTGTAAATTTTAATAAATCTTTATTAAAATATTTAAAAATATTTATTTTAAAATATTAAAACGTTTATAATAATTTATTTTATAATTATTATAATAAAATATATTTAATATATAATTTATTAATTATTATATAAAGTTATTTTATTTTTAAAATAGTTATTATTAAGTTTAATTATATTTTTAATACCTTATATTTAAATTTATAAAATATGATAAATGTTTATATGTATTGTTAATTACTTAATAATATATTTTTGTTATAAAGTAATAACGGTTAATATTTAATAAATAAGAAATATAAAAATAATAAACTTTTATATTAATTACACCAATTTATATAATAAAATATTATAACAAAAAAATATTTTATATATAATAAATAAAGGTATTAATTTATTTACTACTTTTAAAAAAAACATTAAAAAAAATATAATAAATAATTACGTTATTTAACCAATAATTAAATTAATAATATTAATAAAAATTATAGTTAATTTTTGGTTAATTATAAAGAAGTTAATTTTAAAAGTTTTAACATTAAAAATAATGCCAATTAATTTAATAATAACGTTAAAAAAATAAATAAAAAATATATATTATAATTTATAACCTTATATAATGTTATAAATAATAAAAAAATAATTAATATTTTAGTTAATTAAATTACTTTTTACATTATAATAAGATTTAATACTTTTAATAAATTAATTATAAATAATTTAATAGTTATAATATTAATAAAAAATATTATATTTTTATTAAAAGATTAATATGCCTTTATTTTTTAAAGTATAATATTTAATATAAACGCTGTAAATATTTCCTTTAAAAAAAAACTATAATTAAAAGTGTTATAAATAATACATTTATATATTAAATTAAATATTATAATAATAAGTTAATATATTGTATTTTTTGGTAATAATTTTTAATTATTTAATTTGGAAATAACGTATATATTAATCCTTTTTTAATATTATAAAATTTTATATAATATTTTTAAATATATTTTTTTTAATATATATTAAAGATATGGATTGTTTTAATGTTTATTTAAATAATATTAATAATGTTTTAATATATTAAGGTAAATAATATTTTATAATATATAAATAAGAATATTTTTAATTTTTATTCGATAATTATAATATAATAATAATTTATAATTATTTAATAAAAAGTAAATTACGTTAAATATATAAATAATTTAATTATTTAATAATAACATAGTTATATAATATTTTTAAACGTATTAAATATAATAATTTTAATAAAAATTTAATTAAAAAAATAATAAAATATTATTATTAATATTAATTATATAATAAAATATTTAATAAATTTAAATTTATTATTAAAAATAATATTAATTTTAATTATTTAATAATAGTTAATATAATATATATAAGCGTTAAGTTTATATTATACGTAATTGATAAAGTTATTTTTTTTTAAGTAATAAAATTTTTAAAAAATATAATTATTAAAAATATTTGGCATGTATTAAAAAAAATATAAATAAATATTTATTTAAAAATTTTTAATAAATTGGTTTATAATATTAATAAAAATTTTACGTTTAATAAATTTAAAATAAATTTAACGTTATTAAATATTATTTTAAAAAAAATCTTTATAAAAGTTTATAATTTAATTAATAAATTAAAATAATATTATGCATTATTATAATAAACTTATAAAATTATAATAATAAATTATTTTAATATTAAATTTAAATATATTTTATAAATAATTATAAAAGTTATTAATAATATAATAAGTTTTAATAATTTAATATTTATTTTATTAATATTTAGCGTTTATTTATAAATAATAAATAATTTTTTAAATATATTTTTATTAAAAATATATAAAGTAATTATTATAAAAATAATAATAAAAATATATAAATTAAAAATTATATAATAAATTAATAACGTTTTAATTATATATAATAATTTAAATATGTTATTAATATTTAAATTATTATTTTAATTAAAAGTTAAAGTATAATAAAAAAAAAATAGTTAAAATGGATTTTATAAATTATTTATTTAAAATAATAATATATATATTATTAAAATTAATAATAAATTTATAAATTTTTAAATTATAATTATATAATTTTATTATTATAATAAAATAATAATTATATTAAATAAAAAGTTTATTATATAATTAAATTTTAATAATAATAATAAAATAAATAATAAAATTTATAAATTTTTATAGTTAATAATATTTGTTAAAAAATGCGGTAAGTTTTTTAATAATAAAAATAAATTTAAAACTGTTAGTTTTGGTATTATTTATATAATGTTATATAAAAAAAAATATAAAGTATTTATTATTAAATTATGTTAAAAAAATAAGATTATTATATTAAAATAATTGTTTAAAATTTTTAATAAAGTTAAAATAAAAATTTTAATAAGTAAAAAAATCTTTTTATTTAAAAAATATAATGCGGTTAAATATAATAGTTATTATATTTATAATTTATATATTATATAAAAGATTAAAAAATTAATTATAAGTAATTTTTATAAAAAATTATGTTTAATTATTTAAAATTATAATAATTTAAAAAAAAAATATATATTAATTTAATTATTAATAATTTAACGTATTAATTAATAAATCTTTATTATTATAATATTTATATTATTAAAAAATAAGATAATTATATAAATATAAAATATTTTATAAGTTTATATGTAATTTAAAATAAAATTAACGTATATAATATTAGTAAAATTATTTTAAGTAATAATATATTGATATTTTATAAATATAATAATAATAATAATTAAATTTTTTTACGGGATATTAAAAGTTGGAGTTTATTAATAAATTATTTATATATGTCATTATATAAATAAATTAAAAATAATAATGTTTATATATAATTTATATTTGTTAATAACGGCGGATAAAGATTGATTTAACCTTATAGTAATATAAATAAATAATATATTAAATTTATTTAATAAAGTTTTTAATAATTTTAAAAAAGTTAAATTAATAAAGGTTAATTTTATTGTTAAATTAAAGAATTATTTAATTATAAATAATTTATTAATTTTTAATAGTTATGTTTTAACGTTAAACGATGACGGTAATTTTTATTTATGTTATAAAAACGAAGTTAAAAAGGTTATATTAATTAATTGTAATTATGTAAATATAGTGTAATAATATGTGAAGTAATGTGTTAAAAGTGTTTATATAGCCATTATTTATTAGTTTAAAATTATTTTTGATTTATTAAAAGTAATTTAATATTGAAAATTTAGTAATAAATAAGTTAATAAATTAAATTGTTGTTTTTAATAATAGTTAAATAATGTGGAATAAGGTTTATAATATTTATTTTTAAATTTAAAAATTATTAAATTATATGTTTTTATTAATGTATTATTTGTAAATAATTAAAATTTTATATTGTAATTAAAGTATATAATTATTTTAATAAACGAGGTTTTTAATAATAAATCTTTTATAATTATAAGTAATATAATTTATTAAAATTTAATAAAATATAAATGTGTTATATGTAACGTATTAATAAATAAAATATATGTTATAATTAATAAGATAAATATAGTTATTGTTATAAGTATTATATTTATAATTATTTTTAAAAAGTTAAATTTATTTAAAATCTTTATTATAGTTTATATAAATTTGTTTTTGTTATATAAATACTTTATTAAATTAGGTATAATAAAAGAAAAATGTTTAATAATAAATATTATAGCGTTATAATAATTATATAAATGTTAAAAAATTTATAAGATTTATTAAATATATAGTAAAGATAATTTTATTAATATAATAATAAAAATTTTTTTAAATAAAAGTTTATAAATCTTTGTTAATATAAATATTTTAATAATATAATTATAAAAATAGGTTAAAAGGTAAAAAAAAAAGATATATATATAAATATAAGATATAATTAAATTAAAAAAATTAATAATAATTTTATTTATTAAAAAAAAGAATTATTAATATTAAAATATTATTAATAAATAATATTTAATTGGTTATTTAACTGTAAAGTTATTTTATAATAACTTATTAATTTATAAATAAAATTGTAAAGTTTATTAATTTTAGTTAATTATTTATATTTTTATAAAACAATTAGTTACGTAAGCGTAACTTTTATTAAAATAATAATATAATAAATAATATAATATTTTTTAAAAATATTTTTATTTTTAAATATTACTTTTTATATATAAACTTTATTTTTCCAATATATTTATTTATACATAATATTATATTATTATTATAAATAATTAAAAATAAACATTATAAATAAAATTTAAATTATAAATTTATAAATATAATTATATTATAATTATAATTATAATTATAAATTTATGTATTTTATAATTAAATTAAATTTTATGTTATTATAATTTTATAAAAAATAATAATTAATTTATTATTATAATATATAAAATTATAATTAAAATAAAAAATAATTATTATTAAAAATAAAAAAAATATATTTATTTAATTAAAATTATTTTTAAAATCGTTTTAAAAAGTTAAAATTGTTTTAAAAAATTTAAAATTGTTTAAAAAAGTTAAAATTATTTTAAAAAATTAAAATCATATAAATTTAATATGATTTTTATAATTATTTTAAATATAAAGTTATTTTCATTAAACATCGTTATAAAAACTCGAAATAATTCGATATGTAATATTATCCTGGTAACAATGTCGGGATATTGTAATAATATTTAAAATTTTAAAATAATCTTATAAAGTGATATAATCCCTAAGATCATATCCTCTTCCCACCCTGGCGCGGTAATGTATGTATATCGTGAACATTTGCATTTCCAAGCACGCAGGAGACATAACCCGCCGAACCAGTTAAGCAGAGGTATCCCCCGCCACATCTTTACCGCAAGGAGATACCTGATATGTACGGTACTCCTTCTGGCAGTTCTCGTCAGATCCGTCACTATCACCCGTTAGTATTTTCGTAGCCTGGCTGAAACTCGCAGAAGCTAGGATTTAAGTATGACCTCAATTGGATGTAACCACTATCTCCGTCGACGCTACCTTACCTTATTTTACAAGATGCCCGGAAAAAAAAGAGTGATATGTGATGAGGAGACAGCGGAGATAGCTAAGCAAAAGCCGACCATGATGATGACTCTTCGGTCCTAAATGGTGTATGGCTCGCTTGATAATCAATTAGTAGCGACTATTGATACACTATGTATAAATAGATGTCCATTATTTAGTCTCCGTTCTTGGAGCTTTTTCTTCAAACTGATCTCTCTCCTTCTCCCTCTCAGAGTGTGCCATCGATCAGCCCTGAGTTACGACTGTCCTCTCTGCTTATAACCTTCTATAACCAAAATAGTAACGGTATTCTTCCCAGGTGAAGAAAGTTAGGCAAGTACCCATTTTCTTCCTAGCATACCTGTACTACCTATACCTCAGCCATGAGTTTACACCGGATTAACTTTTATTCTGCCGTGCTTAAGACAAGCTTCCGGCCTCGACTGTGTTATCATCCCGCGGCTGTGGCCTTAGTCAGGTACCCCCACATCAAGCTAACAGGTAGCTATCCCCCTAGCAGAACCATGGCGACCTCTTACACCATCAATTCCGCTTTCAAGTTAAACAGCGGCTATGAAATCCCTCTACTGGGTTTCGGTGTAAGTGCTTTATACTCTATAGACTCACATTACTATAGACGGTCGAGTTAACACCTCTTAGGTATACTTAACGTGAGTCCAGTGTTATCTAGGTAATTTTAAAAGGGTATTTGTGTCTAATCTAATCGCCAACTCCCAGCCCGCCAGAGGAGACTGAGAGGGCCGTTGCCGATGCACTCAAAGCCGGCTACCGCCACATCGACTCGGCCGTCTTTTACCACAACGAAGACGGCTGTGGCAAAGCTATCAAGGCCAGCGGGCTACCGCGGTCTGAGATCTATTTCACAACCAAGATTCCGCCAAACCTAATGTCATACGATGCCACTAAGGCACAAGTCGACAAGAGTCTGAAAACTGCGGGCCTGGACTACATCGATCTCATACTCATCCATGCGCCGTATGGTGGCTCAGGGGCCCGAAAAGGAGTGTGGAAAGCACTCGTGGAAGCTGTTGAGGAGGGCAAGGGTATGTTCATTCTCTTGTCGCCTTTCACCTTTGGGAACATTGCTGGTGTGGCTTACTGACACTTTATACCTAGTCCGATCCATCGGTGTCAGTAACTATGGTGTCCAGCATCTCGACGAGTTAGAAAAGCACATTGCGGAACTTGAAGTCGAACGAGGCGGTAAGGGCAAAGGAGGTGTCATCTCAGTCGGCCAGTGGGAGATTCACCCATGGTGCCGTCGCGAGGATATCGCCGAATGGTCTAAGAAGCGCAACATCGCCGTCGAAGCCTACTGTCCCGTTGTCAGGGGTGAGCGATTCGGCGACCCGACTCTGGTTAGCCTCGCCGAGAAATACGGCAAGACTCAAGCTCAGATCTTGATTCGATGGAGCTTACAGAAGGGTTATCTCCCGCTTCCTAAGAGCGTCACACCTTCCCGAATTATCGAGAACGCCGCAATCTACGACTTTGACTTGTCCCAGGAGGACGTCGAGAAGTTGAACACGGACGTATATGCCCCTATTGCCTGGGACCCTACTGTGGCTAGTCTAGACGACTAAATGCAGTGAACCCCTTTTAGGAATTTAGAGGATGGTAACATAGCGTTTGACTATAGTAACTGCAATTAGTTAATATACACAGTCTTCCAACTTAGCCCACGTCACGTTAGTGTAGGAGAGCTTTTGTCAAGACGTCCATAGTTCAATCATGAAGATTAACTACCGGTTATGCGAAGTAAAACATCGGGCCAAACAATTACCCAAGTCTCAAGTTTCGCCTATATTAATGCTTAGCTAAAGGACAATTGTCGGAATATATGACTATACTCGACAATAAGCACTTCATTTATTTGACGAATGGCAATAGTTGTTGTGACACAATAAGAGTGACACAGCAGGACCGCCTTAACTTTGTCCAATTATATACTCCAGTTTAGCTCAGCTTCAATTTCAAAAGTATGAATAAGGGGTTATACTAACGAGTTCAAACCTCACGAGCTAATTAATTTAACTTACGCATGTTTAAAAATCCAACCAGATACCTATAAGGAATCTCGAAAACAAAGGAGAGAAGATAGGGAAGAGACCAAAAAAATACAGCGTAAAGGCTCAACACTCGTCAGCATCGAACCCTCGCCGCGCGAAGTCTTTTCAGAAAGGTTCCGTACATGCGGTTTCAAGATTGAGTGAGAGACAGACAGGGGATTTAAGTTTCAACCCTACCCTGAATCTCAGGTTCAAACTCTTGACCGGATGTAGGATTACCTACTTCTGGGCGAGTTGGGTAGCCGCGACCTATCCACTCGACCAACCTCGAAGCTTTTGGGAGCTTGTTGAAGATTGCGGTAATTGTTTTAAGTTATAACCTTTTCGGTGGCTACTATCATGCTACTATGTAGATAAGGGGACGCGACTGCTCGTTTGCTTTAGTTGTTACATAGTAGAAGGAACGTTATAGTCCGAATTGATAGGTACCTAACTTAACCTAGGCAAGTACGGACATAACTCTGATATACTACCTAAATGTATTTTCTGAAGGCAACCTACATGTAAGTATATCTCGATATTACCTACTTCGCGACCTCTTATATCTCTTACTTTAATGGCTTAAGGGGCTATTTAATCTTCCCCAATACGCCCTCCCAAGGCTTCAAAGGCACACCCGACTGCTTCGGTTTCTCCGGAGCCCCTTTCCTATAATTTCCCGCAGTCCAAGACTCGACCTCGAAATTTGAGGGTAATGTCCACTCAAGCTCTTTCTTGGAAAAGTTGAGAACGATGAGCCAGCGATCCCCCTTAACACTTGCACGAACATATGCAAAGACCTCTGGGTGCTCGGGCGACAGTTCCTGGAAGTCTCCGTACACGAAAGCGTCCGCGTGATCTTTTCTCTGTTTGAGAGCCCATTGCCAGAACTGCCAGACGGAAAACTCGTTGGGGTCGTCTGCTTTGATTTGAACCTCGACATTTACATTTTGGTAGTCGTCCATGACTCGCATCCATGGCTTGGTACCCGGGTCGCAGAATCCCGCATTCTCCCCTGCGGTCCACTGCATAGGAGTTCGAGCATGGTCACGCGCTTTCATGTCGATTACCTTGCGGCCGTAGGCGAGTTTCTCCTTGTCGCCTGCATACAGCTTTTCGCATTTCTTCCAGTAGTTGATGGTCTCGATGTCCTTAAACTCAGAGATGTCCCAGGTCGTAGGAGCGTTGCGGATACCAATCTCCTCGCCCTGGTAGACAAAAAGTGTACCTCCGAGAGTGGTCTGCATTAGGGCAAGGAGCTTAGCCCCCTTTTCTCGCCACTCATCACTGTCATCAGTATACCGTGAGACTGATCTGGGATTATCATGGTTCTCAATAAACACTGAATTCCAGCCGTTGTTCTCTATCATTACCCGCTGCCACCTCGTGATGATCGACTTCATCTCTTTGACATCCCAGGGCTTAAGGGCCATCCTGACGTTCGGCTTGTCGATATCGACTAGATCGAAGATGAAGATCATCCTTAACTCCTCAGAATTGGCACCGACGCTCCGCAGGACTTCCTTCTCGTCGCTGACTCCGGGCATTTCGCCGACCGTAATCGTGTCGTACTTACTCAGCACCTCCCGGTACATTTCTCGTAGGAATTCGTGTAGTCTCGGCCCATTGACGAAGTATTTAGATCCAGGTTGGTACCTGTGTCCGGGGTCCAATACTATATCTGCATCGGGAAAGCCAGGTGCTTTGGATATTAGATTGATGACGTCCATTCGGAAACCAGATGCACCTCGAGTCACTTCAGTAAGGTTAGCATTGTACAGGCTCTGATCTTAGAGCATATATGAAAAGGGGTAAGTGAATATGCTACGCACTCCAAAAATGCATTACATCCCAAACAGCAGCCCGCACGTCAGGGTTTTCCCAATTCAAGTCTGGCTGCTCCGGCGTGAAAAGACTCAAATAAAATTCGCCGGTTTTCTCGTCATATGTCCAGGCGGAGTTGGCTTCCCCTAGAATCTGCGCCCAGTTGTTTGGCGGCTCTGGCACGCCATCAGGGCCAATGCTCTTCGGCTTCTTCCATATGTACCAGCTGCGCTTTGGACTATCAATGCTTGCGCGGCTCTCGAGAAACCACGGATGCTCATTACTGGTATGATTCACCACCAGGTCCATCATTAGTTTCATGTCGCGCTTCTTAAGCTCGGCAATCAACTCGTCGATATCCTCCAGAGTCCCATATCGCTCGTCGAGCTGCTTGTAGTCGGCGATATCGTAGCCCATATCTGCCTGTGGAGATTTAAGGATAGGTGACGACCAGACCACATCAATGCCCAGGGACTTCAGGTAGTCCAGCCGCCAAGTAACACCCTTTACGGTACCCCATCCTGAGGTCACTCCAGGCTTTTTACATGGGATTATACATAATTAATACTATTCTGGTAGGACGGCCTCAAGATGTACCTACCTGACACTGAAAGCTTGCTGGATAGATTTGATAGACCACTGGGAACTCGAAGGTCAGTTTCCGTTCACTAGCATAACAGTTCTATGATATGACATCGATTTAAGCAGCAGAAATAGGCTATTCAAGGGTATATTCGAGGATCAGACAATTCGATTGACATACCAGCTTCTTTCCACCACTTAGGTGTCGAATAGGATGACTCGGTCGCAGCCATTTTTAGATGGACATAAAACTTCAATGATAACTTCTAACACTTTCTTCGGTTCTGTCCTAGTAACAGCAATATACTTTCAACTTGTCTGCATTAGGCATCAATGCGTTTCCTCTCAAGACCATCAACTGACGTCGAGCCGCATCTGACCGTTGAGATCTACAGTTTCCTGCATAAATATTAGGTGAACTCAACCTGTATGCGTAGGCGGTTGGCTGCAGCGATCTAGTAGCACCGCATAATGTTTGATTCCTATTATCGGACCTCTGTTTGGAGAGAGGTCCCCTCCTTTGAGCGGGCATTAGTGGAGGTTTAAAGGGATCACACAAGGGGATTTGCAGGCTAGATAACTGCTCCATTAACACATATTGGCGTCTAATTTTTGGAATACTCTTCTCGCACTCTAGCGGACGATTCCGACAATGAGAAGGCTACCTGACTTATTTCACAACAGAATACGCAAAAGAGCTCCTAATGAATAATCTGTTTTACTGCGGGGATCGATCGGCGGAAAGTCTTGATAGAGGTATGCATCTCTACCTCTATGCAGCACTTAACTCGATAACCTAAATACTTGATACGACCACAGCTAAACACGTATAAAGTTGAGTGGCTAAGACGGGTTGAAGCATACCTAGGTACGACATAACTCTCTTAATCTCCATTAAAATCCCCGTGGCTACCCGGAACAGTGTTCATATAATATAGCAATTCCGTGGGCGCAATGTTGTTAAACCCCCACAAGAGTTTTAAGGCAGTAAATTTGCACTTCTTCGACTCTATTCTGCGGGATTTCTAGGGTGGCCCGGATTATTAAGGGGTATAACTATGTGGCCTATCATTTCATGATTTTCCTCCAGTGCTACCCAACTAAGTCTCCTGTATAGAAATGTGAAGCCCAGGAGAGTACATTGAAAAGTGAAATTCGACTTCGCTAAAAATAAAGGAACGTATATAAGATATATAAGCCAATTGCGGCTACAAACCCGAGATGCGCTCAGCGTCGTGATGATCCTTCATGGTTTCAGGGGTAGATCGTTGGGGGCGGTAGTGCAACTATGTCTATCGAAGAAATGAAATCGCCCTACCTAGGTACCTACACAGCTACAGCCTAATGCCATGATACGATCCCAGGGGTCAAGCTGAGGAGCACGTTGGGATGCATTATGAATACCAAGGATAAATCATGCATGATATAAAGGTTGGGGCCAAAAGTCTAGACGTACGACGGTCCGGGCCAAAAGTCTTGCACATCTGGTTTTGGCAAGCTATGTATAAGTAAAAAAAGGACCGCACAATATTACTTCAGCTATAGTGGCTAATGTCGTTATGAATATAGTGGCAAGCCACCCAAATTTAGCGTATGGGCCACTATCCAAACTTCAGCTTAGTAGGTAGCTGATATAGTGTTAATAGAAAAGGATGACGTTCGAATACGGTGCTAAGGTCTTCTACATGTGCAAGACTTTTGGCCCGGACCTTCGTACAACATACTGTGCCAAGATTTGGACATGTGCAAGACTTTTGGCCACAACCTTCGTACTCTGTGACATTAGGAATAGGAGAATGATATGTATTCCCCTTAGAAATCTCCTTACTAGAATCTTGACCTCTAACCCTAAAGTTCAAGTGACTAGAAGATGCCAATGAAAGACCCATACCGACAGCTGTCATCTTGGTGACCTCGTCGCTAACATAGCGATTCAATGGAAGTACCCAGAGCAATGCGGTGGTCGAACAAGACACTTGGACCGGACGGGCCTTGGAACGCAGTAGAAGTAACACTGGGAAGCGCGCAAGATGTCACCGTATACGCCGGGAGGATGTGGGAATCCTATTTCCCCGGCGCAACTTACTGCGGACATACCACAACCGCGGGTCAACCATGCTACGCACAACAAGTCGGGGCTATCTACGACGAGTCGGCAGGCACCGGAGACGTACCAGAAATCGCTTTCAGTGCCTCCGCATACTATGCATCGGACATGGATGCCGTAGGGACTAATGCAAAGCGGTACACCGACCGCATTTCTCTGGGAAAGGATTCGAGCTATTGGAGCCCAGTTAGCGTTGATAACTTTGCTATGGCTCTCATGAGTGATACTCAGCTTCGATATCCCAATGGAAACGAGTACCCCTTATTCGCCGGCTGTCTTAGCATCGGTGCTGCACCTAGTAGTACGTATGATGCCGTCAACTCATGCCCCTTAGCCGCTCACCTTATAAGGAGATATCCTAACATATCCCTTTAACGTTTTGCTAATATTTGATGTGCAGTCGTCAACCATACATTCGAAATAATACCAGGGCAAGTCGCCGGTGCCGTCAATACGAGCCTGCTTGCTGGGACTCTATTCACAAACCACGCCATCGCCTCTCAGACTTTCGGAATGCATATCGGCTCAGCCGCTCCTAATCGGGTCCCAGGATCGCTCTGGATAGGCGGATACGATCGGAACAGAGCTGTTAACGATATGCTATCTCTTCCAATACCTGACCCGTTTACCGCATTCTCAAACGCGCCCCTCGTAGATATCTCGATCGACGTCGTCAAAGGCGGCTCGCCGTTCCCCTGGACCTCGAAAGGAGGCCTATTAGCATCGGGAAATTATTCCATAGGCAACCAACTCGGCGTCGTCATCGACCCCTGTCTTCCGTATCTCAACCTACCTAAAAGCACATGCGACGCCATCGCCGCCGAGATCCCCGTGAAACTCGACTATGGGCTGGGCCTATATCTCTGGGACACGGAATCTCCGGACTACACACGGATCGTACAATCACCCTCCGTCCTAACATTTACATTCGTAGACCCCGACAGCAACTTACGCAAAGTTAACATCTCAGTACCGTTCACACACCTAAACCTAACCCTCGACCAACCCCTCATCAATAAGCCAACCCCCTATTTCCCCTGCAACGCAGCGTCGAACGGCGCATACGCCCTCGGCCGCGCGTTCTTACAAGATGCTTTCATCGGCGCGAACTTTCAAACCGCGGTCTACTTCCTGTCGCAAGCGCCTGGACCTGATCTCAATAGCGAGAACGTAATGGCCATGGATAGCGATTGTCGGACGTTAGAGGCTAGTAAGAACGACTGGGTCACATCGTGGAATGGACACTGGACGCCGCTCCCGGAGCCGGATAGCAATACATCCTCAGGCGTTTTAATCATTAGTAAACCAGCGTCGGGACATGGTTCCATGGCAGGCGTAATCGCTGGCGCGACTGTGGGTGGAGTAGTTGGATTAATGCTGCTGAGTTTCGTATGTTTCATTATATGGAAATACAGGAAATATGGTAAAGGTTTTTCGCTATGTGGTTTATCCCTAATCAAAGACAAGCCGGCCGTCCGCAATATCGTGGACGTTGTGGATGCTAGGGAATTTAAACCGCCAGTTGGGTATTCGCAGCATACGCTGTACGAACTAGCGCCGACGACGTGGCAACTACCAGCTAATATTACGGATCGGGCAGCGGAGATGGAGACTCCTCATATTGTACACGAGATGCCTGTCAATCACATAGGACATTATGGTCATTATTATACAAATGCATAACATTTTATGAAACTCAATAGGCTAAAGATACGAGATACCACGTTAGAGTTGTATTTTATTAAGGCCTACCTACACGATTATTAAGGCTGAATCTAACAGAACATTACTTCGTTAAAACATTAGTCCTCACGACTCTCTGTAGGAGCATCAGCCCCTAAAAGGCTCCGCTCTTCGTCGACGACCAGAGCTTTCTGCTCGGTGGCCGTCTTGCTCTTCTGTAGACTAACCCATATCGCAGACCCGATAATTAAGGCACTACCAAAGAGACTTTCGACCGGAGGTGTAGTTCCCCAGACCACTCTCTCGAGGATGAGCGCGAAAACCATTTGCGTATACTAGAACCCCTGGTTAGTTTCAAACCTCACATGTGTTTTGTATAATAATGACTTACTATGAGATTCGTCGCCCTGCCCGCCTTCTCTCTCTGCAGGCCCTCCGTCAGGAGAAACTGTAGCAAGAACCCCGCGATACCTATGGCTACTAGCAGGGTCCTACAAGAATGTTAGCCATAACAGGTACCTAGTGAAACAAAAAACTAAAGGGGTATTAATTATACCATTGCGTAACGTTCTGAGGGATCTCAAAGCGCAGACCCGGAACAATGAGGATGATAACGAACGATCCAACCGTCGCAAGAACAGCGAAGTAGTTAACGCTCACGAGCGAATGCGCACGCTTCCCGATAACCCGAATGGTGGAGTACGCAGCAGCAGCGCCAACCGTGCCGATGACGGCCAAGAGCGCGGCGATAGAGCGTTCAGCCGGTGTCGCAGGTACAGAGGGGACTATACCCTTGGGCTGGTCTACCATAAATAGCCGTGTCCCGTTGAGCTCCGGCTCGTGTGATCCATGCTGCGGAAAGAGAAACGTCGGTCGGGCGATGAAGAGCACGCCAGCGAATGCGATCAAACCCGCTATGGCCTCTTTCACCGTAAATGGTTCCTAACAGGTTAGAACAAGATGTGCTTAAAATATAGCTTTGGGTGCTCGCTATACTTACTCTTAGAGCGATAAAACATATGAAAGCGGTCATAGTTGGTACCAGGAAGGAAATCACCGTGGCATCGGAGATGTTCAAATACGAAAGCGAGTCTTGTAACCGGTGTCAGCTCCGGTCGTTTCATCCAAGTGCATATAGAGATGGATCGAACTTACAATAAGAACAGAAAAGGCCCGTGAAGCCAGCCAGCCCCCGCAACACCAGGAGGCCCCGGATATCGCGACGGCCAAGCGGAAAGTCGGGAACTTTCTTGTACCACATGTACAGAGAACCCAATATCGCCGTCGCAAGCATGCGCACGAAGATGATCTGCAAGGCGTGGAACTTCGTCTCGAAGCCCGTCTCGAGCAGTCGTGTTGTCATTGTCATCTATTCCATCGTTAGTATCCATAGTTGATTTTGAGCGAGGCTGTTTGACGTACTAACGACGCGAATACCTGGGCAAGAAACACGAAGAATAGACCAATGTTCCTCTCGTAGAATCCCTTCAATTTCTTCCATACAGTTTGATGTTGTTCATCGTCACGCTCTACAAGACCGTCTACCTGGTACTGCTCACCAACAGGCGGGGCCATGCTTCCGCTTTCAACATCGTCTCCAACCTGCGATGATTGAACGAGAGTATCGGAATCCTTGGTAGATCCCTCTGACACACTTACAGATCCATACGACATCGTGTTTAGTCGTAAAATGGAATTTTAAAGAGGAACCCAGTTATTCTAAACGTTTATAAAGTCTTTAAATTAGTGGCGGTTTGAATTTATTTCCCCGGTCTCGGCCTCGGCCTCGGTTTCGGAGCTCACTAACACATGACCCGGACCCTTGTTGAACTTACTTTACGAAAAGTTATGATATTATCTCTATTAGTAAAACGTCTTTCAGACAATAGTAAACGATAGAGAATGAGGATAATTAATTCGTATCGCAACATAATGTGGCGTCCGTACGAGAAGTGTCGGAAATTTACAAGAAACGAATATGAGAGGGTATATTGAAACTTATAACTACCTCATAACCAGATAACGTTAACCCATAATTAAATCGGGTAACACAACTAAAAACAGAACCAGCCACCGATTCTCTTAGCCCTTCCAGCCCATCCTTCCTCCTCCGGCTCCATGTCGTCCTTCGTATACACATCAGTAACCAGATCCATCTCGCTCGCCCTCTTGAACTTCGTCTTCTTAATCAACTTCCACGCGACGAACATCAAGGCAAATAAAGGCAACTCGATATAATAACTAACAAAGTCGACAGCGTTAAAAGTCGGACTGAAACAGCTCCACCCCTGGACGAGAACGATAAAGCTGTTGAGTACGATGGCAACAATTGGCCCTGCCGGATATGTCCAGTTCTTGAAGGGCAGGAGATGCTCCTTTCCCTGTGCTTTCAAGCCGGCACGGAAACGTAGCGACGCGATACCGATGCTGATCCATGATAGCTGGTTGGAGACACCAACAAGGTTTTGCAACCACGTCCACAGCTGGCCGGCGCCGATAAAAGATGCGCCGAACAGCAGACCGGAAATGAGCGAGGTGAAGAGGACCGATACCCAAGGGACCTGGAATCGAGTCAAACGCCCAAAGACCTTGGGCGCGTGGCCGTTAATGGATAAGGTGTATAATAGGCGAGACCCAGCGAAAAGAGCATGGTTTCCTGCCGAAATAATACTTGTGAGGATAACAGCGTTGACGAAGGACCCTGCTACTCTAGACCCGGCCAGCTGGAAAGCAATAGTGAAAGGAGAGGTACGGGTATTTTTAGAGTTGAGGTTCGGGTAGTTATACGGTACGTTAAGGCCGATCATCAGAGAACCGAGTATATAGAAGAACAGGATCCGCCAGAAGACATTCTTAACAACCCGCGGTAGCTGGCGAGCCGGGTCCTTAGTCTCACCGGCGGTAATAGCGATCGATTCGGTGCCACCGTAGGCAAAAGATGCGGTTACAAAGACGCTTGCGAATCCACCGATACCTCCCACGAAAGGCGCATCACCGATATACCAGTTTCGCGCGCCGATGTATTCGTGTGTTGTGTTTCCGCCGACGTTTACAGCGATGCTCAGGATGATGAAGATGACAATAGTGATGACCTTTAGGAGACACAGCCAGTACTCTACTTCACCGTAGGCCCGTACGTTTATGATATTGGCCAAAATCAGTAAGAACCAGATGATAAGCCCGAGAGCGTACCATGGGAAGGTGTCGGTCCAATACTGTAGGATTAGCTGCAAGGCAACTAGATCAGCAGCCGTAGACACGGCATCGTTGAACCAGTAATTCCACGTCAGAGCGAAACCCCAGGCGTCATCTAGATAACGCGCCGAGAAGGAACAAAAGGAGCCAGCCACTTTAAGGGGTAGGTTAGTATAAGTTCCGTATAAGTTCCGTATAAGTCTGAGATCGGTTACTATCGGCATATCTTACCTGGAACAAAAGCAGCCATCTCACCAAGACACAGCATCGTCACGAACACGATGCCTCCCACGATAGCATAACTAAGCAATAACGAAGCCGGTCCACCGGTCGCTAACGCCTTTCCCGTTCCCAGAAAAAGACCAGTCCCGATGGTACCTCCGATAGCTATCATCTGGACCTGGCGCGCGGACAACGAGCGCCGTAGCCTATCTTCCGCCACATAGACGTGGTCGGCGGTGCCATGGGACGCAGTCGCCGTAGCTTGCGCATTCTTTTCCGCGTCGACATCCATCGTGCAGCTTTAACACTTAGCTCAGCTCAGCTCGAGATATCACCAAATTAGTATTATCGTGACTCGTCGGTTACCCCTGACCAACGACATAGCTCGCATTATTCATTATATCAGGCGCCTACAGGGCTTTAAATGGATTTTGCATATATCAAAGCACGTCATTTCACGTGAGTATGGTGTTTAAGCAAAAGCTTGCCGGGCTAAGCCCGAAACAGGTTGGCACATGTTCTGACCTACCTAATCGGGAAAGCAGACGGTGCTGTTAGTCCTCACCGAGGTGTGAGTGATGTTTGTATGATCCTAACTATGTCGTTATGGTTTTTGCCTCTTCTTGGGAATTTGAGAAATTAGGGGGGAGGCCAAGATCTGGGGTTGCTTCCTTGTATTGATGATTGAAACAGAGGATTGTGTAAAAGAGTAGGTGAGATGAGGGTTTATACGTTTGCCCGAGTTTACGAGGGGTTATTGTGTCGAATTTTTTCCATGGCCCAAATAGGAAAGTAACTCAATGGGCAGTATCTGGCACGTGCATCACTTTTTAAGCGATTTGATTGGGTGCATAACCTGTATATGTGGAGTATGGCTTGGCATTTTGGCCGAAAACCAGCTCCGAAGCTTTGATTGGGTGCATCATTATATTATATGGGCCTTGGAAAGATAAGATAACAACACCACGTGACCACATATGTAGCCACATATGTAGCCACATACGTAGCCACATACGTAGCCACATACGGAGCCGCACGTGATCTGACCACATGACCTGGCGATAGGCCACCAAAAACAAAAGGGATAGACTTTCGCTTACGCTTACGCTTTCGCTTTCGCTTTCGCTTTCGCTTTCGATGGAGGCAAAGGCAGCGGCGCGAAGCGCCGCTGACTTTGCCTGTTATGTAATGCGTTAGGTAATTAAAAAAGGTGCGAGGTTGAGGAATCGAACCCGGGGCCTAGGAAGGTTTGGCCGGGATAACTTCGGGGCTATGGTATAGCCAGGCGATTACGTAAGGGTTGTTCCGTAAACTCGGGCTATTGTGCAGCCCGGGGGTTGCCTCCTGTTTAAAGATGAGACTCTTAAACGGGAATGGTAGAGGAATGAAGTAAAAGCTTTATTAAAACCTCGAGTCATTTTATATAGTTGCCGCATATATACCTCTATAACTTATATACATATCAAAGGTCAATTATGATAGTATCATTTCATTAATATATTATCACGAATGAGCAGCTCACAAAATTATTTTCTCATATATGTTCACTTTACATATAAAATCGGTTACTATTGCAAGTTCATTAATACTTGCTAATTATTTAAACTACACTTTCTTAGTAGCTAGCAGCTTGCTTGAGAGGCTTTAATATGCATAGAGGGTTTAATAGCCCCGCCGGTTAGGTGATAATAGACTTCTATTATTACTTACTATCTTTCACTTTAGTCTCTAGCTTATAATTGAATGCGACGTATACTCGACTAATTTTTAAGCGGTCCCAAATCCAAGCCTCCGAATAACACATTGTTAAATCTTAACTTTTCATCGCTTTCTCTTTGTCTCGGTAAAAAAAAAGACGCAGCATATCTCAACACAACATATCATTAGCTTGATACAATTTGCCTATCATCCTTGTAGAGTCAGGGAATCAACCCCCGCTATATATATATAATAAAAATAAAATAAAAAATACTCTTAATTGCTATCGTATGCTTCACAGCTAGTAGTTTAGAGAGTATCATATCGTTTTATTATATACGATATTATATTAAGGGCAATTATTATTACCTGTTAGATAGAGTTCTATACCGTGTCAATGCCATTTCTTCAGTCAGCAATAGATGAGATATTATGACCCAAAACTTGATTATATGAACATATGTCGAATAAGTAAGCTTCCGGATGGAAATGTAGCCATGTAGAGATGACTTGCTGTGAGATTGTCAAATATTTGAAACAAGTAAAAAGGTTTATTGCCAATGTTACAGCATTCGTATCTCTTAGCATGTTCAGTCCCATCAATAAGTGATTTATGAGTTATGACAACACCTTCGAGTTATCACCAACCTATAATGCGACGCTGACGCGCCTTACTTTTAACTCACAGGCTCACTACCAACCAAATATGTGAGTTGGATGAACTGTCTAATCTTATTTAGCGGTAGATCTATAAGCCGACATTGCTCTATCTAATAGCAGCCTCACGCCATCTCGTCACTGTAAGCACTCAAACGAGCGGGGATGTATAACATACACCAGTTTCTTGATCTACCTATGTGAAATTGGGCCGTGCGTAATCAAGCAGAGACAACAACTCCAATACCACGGTACCATTTACCCCACGATAAACCTATTAGAGATGACGTTCTGAAACCGACATGCCGGGTGATGTAAAGATGCTTAGGTAACTTCCCTCTTCGGCGGGACGACATGTCAAAGGGAATTTCCGGCTTCGAGACATCTTTGCTGAGGCATGACTCGGAACACTACGAGTGGGTGTAATGAGCTGATGCACGAGGAACGAGATGTGGCTGCATAGTTTCGATGAGCTGCATGACCCTTTACTCCTACTTCCACATTCTAATATGATATGATTAGGTACCTAGGAGATAGGAGAAATACGGCACAGCATGCAAGCAGCAAGATCAAGATTAAAGCACAGCAAGACACAATACAATGCCAATGCATCTACTGTCTTCGTATTTCCATGCAGGAGTAAGATTGTACGATGCACATCGGACGTCACGAGAGGATAAGTCAGTATGTAGCGAAGTGAAAGGGGGATAGGAATACTACCTCGAGTATACAGATAAAAGCTGAACAATATCAGACGAAAAGTTATGGGGCCGCCTACACGATCGGGTCAAATGACTAGTAATACTGTAATGGTATGCAGGAGATAGTGGGACATCATCCCAGTCCATCTGATCCATAAGGCCGGAATAGAGACCCGAGGTTCAGAGGCTACCTAGGTAGTCTATTAATCCTATAGCTTTTTACGGTGTATATTTTATTGCACCTTTCAACTCTCAACTCTGATCGCTAAAGTCCGAGTTATCTTATAGATTATATTAATTGCCTTTTATAAGGATAAACCGCAGAACCGGGAGACTCTCAAACATACCTCCTAACCTGGGCATACTTAGGGAAGTAATCTCACTTATACGACAGCGGTAAGCGTAACCGATATGTAGGACTAAGTCCAGTATGCGTGACACGGTACCTTTCTGATCCCGCAATCCTGCAGAACCACAAACTCGCGGCTCTGCTTACACGCATATCCTAGGTACTTGAGCCATAGCCATCGCCATTGCCATTTCATATCGTCAAAAATGACTTTCCAAGCGAGACTGTGGTGTAACGTGATATATCTTATAAACGCCACAATCGTGTGTGCCAACCCATACCTACCAAGATCTTAACGCATACATATTATAGTTCCGCATACTGACGTGAAGCCAGTACCGCGTTATCCCTTAGGTTGGGAATCCCAACTCTATACTCGCAAAACTATGACGGTTATGCGGTCATGGCACCTGCATCCGTCCCGGTCATTAGGCGGAAACTATTGAAATCGACAACTCCCCCTCCTCCTCTCTCTCTTCCCCCCCTCGTCCCACTAGCACGGGCTGAAATCTCTCCTCCATAAGCCTCGATCTTGGCAGGGCAGCTAGCGCGAGTCTGGTGGATTGGCCTAGCCCGGTAGCTGATGTGTTCGTCGAAAACGTTTGCCTGAAGTGGGACGGGATCCAACAGGCCACACGACCGGTTATATTCAACGGTTAGTTATGTTAGGAAAAAGACTTCATTTTCGTCCTTCGTTCCATGCAAGCCGTAGTCCTCGTTAGCCCTAGCGCAGCTCGGAAAACACGCGACTATAAACGTCAACCTTTCTTTTCCTAGTCTAACTCTCGCTCGCTTCCTTGGAATCGACACATAGGTAGTCATACCTACATAGTGTAATCACTACCCGCCCGCCCCAGGAACCAGAACCGCAAGCGTTGCATTTTCCCATCTGACGGCTCTCGTTTCCGGATGCCCGGCATCCTACTCTCGTCAAGTTATTGGCTCGGTACCACGGGCTGCGTCTGACTAGACCGCGTAGGATTTTATTATTGGATAGTTTTTTATTTTCTCGTTTGCGCACAACTAATACTACCCGATACTACCTATAACTAGAACTCATGCAGGCGGAAAGACGTGTCTGAAGGAGATAAGCTAACGTGACTATAGTCAGTCAAGCAAGGTCGGAAGTTGATTCTACGTGACGTAAACTTGGAAACCTTGCGCTGGCGCCGTCATCCTTGCCAGCGGGCCCTGACGATGAACCAAATCTGGGGACGGGAGCTACGTGACGTGAAATTTTAAGCCTGGTTCTTCATCGGAGATATTCTTCGGTTATGCCTTGTAGTCGACTGAGTAATATGTTCCTTCGTAGCTGGGCAGTCGAAAATGTCTTGTATATATTAAGGTGGGAACCGGCCGCCAGTTAAGAGGGTTTACGGTAGACTGCTACTCTTTTAGCATATATCCACGACTAGCCAGCCCCGAGGGACATAGAAAAATATAGCCATCGTCCGGAGTCTCTCCCAGAAGACGAGATGGTCTCTACCTGGGCCCTCGCCGCCTCGGCTCTCGCCCTGTCAGGGCTAGCTCTCGCCGACACCTGCTCCACCCTGAAGGACATTTCTAACATTGACGTTGCTGATCCTCTTGAGCTATCATATATCAACGAGCAGAACGATTATTGGTCTACTTCATGCTCTTCCCTGAAGCCTTCTTGTATTATTTTCCCCAAGGATGCCAACGAGGTATCTGCCATCGTGAAGGTCCTCAACAATAACACGGAGCCGTTTGCCATCAAGTCTGGCGGACATAATCCTAATAATGGCTGGTCGAGTGTCACAGGTGGCCCCCTTATCTCAACCCAGAAGCTTAAGCAGGTCATCGTGGATCAGGAGACGGGTATAGCTAGAGTTGGCCCTGGGCAGCGGTTAGACAGCATCTCCGCTGAACTACAGGGAACCGGCTGGACCTTTGTCGGCGGCCGTATTGGAAACACGGGCGTAGGCGGCCTTGTTCTCGGCGGTGGTCTATCGTATATGTCGGCTCAGTATGGCTGGAGTGCTTCCTCCGTACTGGAATACGAGATCGTTCTCGCCAACGGTACCATCGCAACCGCATCTGCTACCAAGAACGCTGACCTATTCAAGGCTCTCAAGGGCGGTGGCAACAACTTCGGTGTCGTGACCACATACGTTCTCCAACTGTACCGTCAAGGCGATGTTTTCGGCGGTAACCTGGTCTTCCTTCATAGCCCTAGTACAGACAAGAAGCTGTTGAAGGCCGTGCGGGACTTCACCGAGTACAACCAGGACAACAAGGCAGCCGTCATCGTCACGGCAGAGCGCGGTAACATCGACCTCATCGACACATGGATCCTGTTTCTCTTCTACGATGGCCCCGTAGTGCCCGAGGGAACCTTCAAGAACTTCACTGATGCCGGGCCTCTCCTAGACACCACCAAGGTGCAGACCTACGCCGATCTGATGGGCGGCAGCAACTGGGTCATCGTCCCGCTGTCCGTCGTGCAGATTGGAACCGAGACGATCCCCATGCCGTCGGCTGAAAACAACGTGAAAGTCATGGAAGGCCTTCACGCTCACTGGCGAAACATGACCGACACGGTGCTCCTCGAGCCTGGCATCGTCGCTTCTATCGCATACCAGCCCTTCCCGAAGGCCATTGCACAGGCCGCAAAGGCAAGGAGCGTGGATTTAATCGATGCGGATGATGAGGCGCACCGCCTAATTATCGAGATGAACTACAGCTTCTTACCGCAGGGCGACTACGCGAAGATGGACCAGAAGCTACAGAATACTGTGAGTGCATCCTGAAGTCACATGGCCCCTTCTTGACCTTTGACTTATAAGAGCAACTTACTAACACTCTGGTGTCATAGTACGGCGGTGTACGTGAACGCATACTCGGCTGGCAACAAGACGGGACCCTACCCGACATCTACCTCCCAGTATTCATGAACTACGGTTTCCATCAACAGGATTACTTTGCGCGACTACGTCCAGAGAACCGAGCATTTGCACACTCGGTATCGGAGAGTGTAGATCCTAATGGTTTTTTCCGAGCCCGAATAGGAGGCTGGAAGCCTTAGATATGCTGCCCATCTTGATTGATACCCATATGCATTTTAGCACGAGCCTTTGTCTTATTTTCATTTTTCGTCTCATGCTTTTATGATATGACCGATACCCGGAAGGCATAGACGGTTACTGTGTACCTAATAAACTTCTCTAGTGATGAAACAATATATAATATATTAATAGTGCATAGTATTTATGATATATGATAACTATGCTTCGGGTCTTCATACAGTAACTGAGTAGATACTTAGGACGACATTTAATAGTTGTATGTCTGACCAAGCGTCAACCTTTCAAGACACCATGAAGCAAACAAGTAAGGAGAGACCAAAAGACAACAGAAAAAAAAAGAAATAAAAACCCCCAAAAGTAACTCGACTAACCCTAGTCTGTTCATGATGCGGTGAGTGTGGATTGAACACACGACTTTCAGATTTGATGATGAAGTTTTGGACTTCAGTCTGACACTCTCCCAACTGAGTTATCCCCGCTGGATAAAATCTCCTCTCCTTAATTACGCATCTAAAATCACTCGTTTTTGATGGTCTCCGCTGCGTGTTCGTGGGATCTGTCTTCGGGGTTTAGGGCTAATACGCCGTAGTGTTGCGGGCCCCTTTTTAGTGTCGTGATGTGATTAGAAAGATACCTGTAGACTAACTAACGAGGGTGGAAAGATTAGGTAGGTATATAACATATTAAGGAGATTTGGTATGTATACCTAAAGACCTGTATTATTTAAAACTGCTATGGGGTATTCGTTCGTAAAGCTAGTTACTCGTACGTAGAAAGATATCCGTGTATGAGAAACGTAGGATTTCGGCATGTAGTAAGTTTCGTATCTTCGCTCAAATTGTAACTCTCCAATCCAATCCGACGCATCAAAAATTACTCTTTTCAAATGCTGCGTCGTAGTAGTAAAAACATCCCGTCTTCGTCTGTTGATATTTCCCTCCGTCCTATTATACAATTTCACCTTAATTCCGTCTATGCGCCGGCACCTCCCGATTTTCCAGCTCGCCTCCTGCCCAGCCCGAATCAAGCTCATTCGGCGTCTGAGAATCAAGTTCGTAATGTTCCGTAGGCTTGTAAGGAGGCGTTGGGCCCTCATAAATTCCGGTAGCGGCGGTATATGTCGATTGTGTGTAAGTGGTGCCGGGTGAGACTAAAGGCTCCTTATTGTTGTATTGCTCTTGGGGAAGTTCTTGCTGCGGCTGAACTTGCTGGAATCCGTCGAAGGGCGCTTGCTTTCTCTTCTGGCGATATCGTCTCAAGAATAATAGTAGGCCAACGAGAATAGCGATCACGACTGCTAGGACGCCTATTACGATGCCTGCAATTGCGCCACCTGAGAGTCCAGTGGATTTTGACTAGATTCCGCGTTTAGTATCACATCTATACTTTGATAGCAGAGTACTTGTCTGAAGAACTTACGTCGTCCGTACTTAGTGCAAAGCCGTCTATGGGATGCGCATAGGCTTGGTCGTTAGTAGCCGAGGCGACCCATTCGACCGTCGCCGTAACACTCGCGCTATCATACGCCGTGACCGTAGCAGTCTGGCCGACTTGAAAATTACTATAGCAGGTACCCCCGTACGCCGGCCGGTTGGTGTCCACCGGTTCGTCGGGAAGATGAAGTTGAAAACCACTATCGCTATAATTAGACCCCGTCATATAATAATTGGCTTGCTTAGATGATATATCATTTTTGATTTCCACCTTGCGTATTAACCTAGGTATACGCTTCCCTCGTATATGATAGCACAGGAAATAAGAGATCTTCACTTACGAGGCGCAACAAGCTATATATCCATTCGGCCACGTCCTCGCCGTGTTCCAACCTTCGGGACAGACCAGCGGCGAGAACATAGGAGCGATAGAACTCGAGGCATTTTGTATCTACTAGATGTTAATAACTTTCCCTGGAGTCTTCACGATGCTTATTCCAGCCAAGCATCCACATATCCATAACATCGTAAGAAGTAAAACAGGTCAATCACATACTACAAAACACGTTAGCACACCCCAGAACCACAAGTCGCGAATAACGGCACTAGACCATCATACTAACCACTAGTATACCCATTGATATACCCCGACGGATAACAATCCCCAATCTTCGAATTCGGCACGGGCTGCGGCTCATTGAGCCAAAGTTGATACCCCGGCGACGACAACTGCGTAAGATGTACCTCGCGACACGACGCCGGCGGGGTGAAAGTCGTCGTGAGATACCTTTCCGTGAGCGTGAGGACGGAGACGGACGGCACCGTCGTCGGGTTCGAAGCCGCTTCTGTTTCTGCCCTAGAGGGGAGGCTCGCAACGGTTGTAGTCTGGATGGCCATGGCGTAGGGGATTGTGAGTAGCGACGACAACAGAACAACAACAGCAACTACTACTCCGGACAAATTACAGGAATGTTGAAACCCCGTTAACTAGACGATACGATAACTGCAGAAGGAAGCAGAGCAAAACAGATCAAAAGCACTTCGGGACCGGCAGCGAGCGACGGAGTGATCTAAAGCCCTTGCTTTTAGAAGGATCGGGACGCCGCATCCACATAGAAACCAGTCGATGTAGCATTAATGTATTATAGGCTATCTAGTCCTATCCTGTCTAAGCCAGCCCAGCCCAGCAAAAAATCCAGTCTATTATGTATGTGCGTCCGGGGCACTTCAGTCTATCTAGGCTGACTGAGGGTGACATCGCGCGGGAGTTCCACAGTGGACTTATGTAGAACTCGAGAGTCTCCATTCTCCATTCTCCATCGACAAAGGTTCAGCTCCAGCGTTCAAGCGTTGTAAACCTTCCCCATCCGTCTTATGCCCACCTCCATTGGCCTTATGCACCCTTGTCGCGTTTCATTACTCGTATCGGAAAGCTTTGCTGTTATTCGCGTTAGGAATAGATAGAAATCTCCAGCAAGCAGCAATCCCAATCTCCTGGTACTTTATTAATCGTGTAACCTAGGGTAGTAATACTATCTAGTTACCAGGTAATATCGCATGTGGTTCCTGAACTTGACCATGTGTACCTAACCTATACAACTCCACCGACCCTACCCCCCTTTTATCCACAACAGTGGCTGTTCAACAACAACCAAATACTCACACCATCTCACGCAGACAAAGCACATACCTGTCTCTATCCGCAGCATTCTCGTAATAGAACCCAAACGTTTTGGCGTGGCGTGGCGTGGCACTGCTGACTGACGTGAAAAAAAAAATGCTGACGCCATCATCGAACCCAGCGAGGTCTTTGGAATTATTGGGGGAAAAAAAAATTAAGCTAAATCTTCTGGCGTCAGCGGAACTTACCGGTCAGCAGACGTCCTTAGCGTGGTGGCCTAACGCGTCCCACCTGGGGGGATAAATGCCGTAGGTATGTATTTTGAAGAAAAAAAATAAGCCCTACGCGTAGCGTCTTTATGCATCTCACCATTATCGCCAAGGTCTTTATATTTGATGACAAACTACAATATTTATATACATCATTATATAATCTATCACTAGGTACATACCTAGTCTAGGACTTAATGCTTCGTGTAACATTATCCCTTTTGGTTGAGCCTCATTTAAGGCAGAGTGGATCAAGTCGCGTCAAAGCACAAAGAATGAACCTCGGTAGTTAAACCATTACTAGCCTTTATAATGTACGGATTAGATTTGCTACTTAATATCAATCGAATCCCTGGTATCAGCCCGACTTCTCGCAGAAATGTCTTCTCATGATTCGTTAAATCACGCTAGGTATAAGCCGCGAGGCTCTCAGCCCAGCAGCTTTTGTCCATCCGCAATGCCCCTTTAAATCCCATGGATATTTCCCGTAAAGCAACTGCGACTGAACAAACATATATTTCAACTCCTCCGCACATTTCGTAGTAAATGGAAGCGCCCCAAGAAAAAAAACAGAGGAAAAGCAATCTGAGAGCAAGGTCGTATGTGAAATCGAATACAGCCCAAGCCTCCGAGGGGGTATTTTTACTTCCGCTTCTAGTCCATCGCAGCTCTTCCCACGTACCTTTCAGGACGAACAACAAATAAGAAAAACACGGTGTCGCGAGACTGAAACCCATGTTTGAGTACATGTAAGCCTTACCTCATGTCTGGGGAGGCACACAGTCTCCACCCGGAAGACACGAACAGAACAGACGAGACAGAAACATTATCCGAGCCGTAAGACCTCTTAAACATGTCGCGTCGCGTATCGTCTTCGGCCGCGGCGTTATTAAAGGGGGCGAATTGCCCCCTATCCCTCGTCCTTGAACAAACGGTGACCTCCAACGCCATCCAGCTAGACAGGATACATCTAGTATCCTTGACCATCCATAGGGCCATTGAATGAAGGTGGATCCATAGCCATAAACTCAAGTAAATCGACACCTCCTACGTTAACTCCCTGATCTGTCATTGTCACGTTGGTATTCTCTCCCATGTTCTGGAATAGGCCTGGACCTGGCGGGAGGTACCACATTTGGTCGTCGGCGGCCCAGTCGGTACCTGATTCAAAGATGTTATCGCCCATGTTAGATTGTTCTAGAGCATTACTGCTATGTGCTGGCGTGGTAGGTCCAAATACCGAAGCTGACCCGGCTGGGTAGGGAAAGTTGCCGGTGGTCAAATCGAAAGGCGTGGCTGACACGTTGCCTGAAGGGGTAGATGATCGTTCTACAAGATTAGTTAGTCTTGTCCTTAGGGTCTACAGCAATATCGGTTAGGTATAATAAACTTACCAGGAACATTGAGCCCCTCTCTGTATTTAGTGTGGTTCATGTACCCATTCTCGATGCCGTTAGCCTGCAAATTTCCGTTCGTAGCCATGGCTCTGCTCACCTCGCCATTTTGACGAGGGCTCTTGCCTTCGCCAGAACCTGTCGCCGGTGCATACTTGAAGCGGTCTCGGAGTCGTGTTGTTAGAGACTCGAGAAGATCACCGAACCTAGTGCCCAGATGAATATCATCGACGACACAGTTCCGTAACGCATCAACCGTACGATCCAAGAGACTAATGCTCACTTCCACATCGGACTTAGGAGCACCTAGGGCGAAGGTCTTGAGCAAGAACATGGCTCCACTGATGATGCGGAAGTAAGTTCTCACAGGGGCGTGCTTAAGGTAACCTTCTTTTAGCAAGCCTTCGACTACAGTCCGTAGAAGATTTCTGCACCCGTCCACTACTTCCTTGACGTATTCTTGATCTTCATGACCGAAGCCACCCAGGTGACCAAGAGGGAGGTTACCCAGATAGTTTTGCGTTTGGGGTGACAGCTGTGGATTCCCTGCAGCAGCATTGTTCCCGTGCACAGTGTTGCTGGACACTCCGGCATTGGTTGTGCAACGTTCAACAACTGCTTGTAAGGCCAAGGAGTTGACATATATCCGTACATATTCGTACTCAATCGTCAGTATATGACGAATATTCTCGGGCATATCGAAACGCTGAAACTCTCTCCACCAGTTCCTAAGGATTGGCTGAAACTCTTTGAGCGCTTTTGTGTAGTTTCCACTCTGTATGATTTCCGTGGTGTGTTTCCGTGATCGGAATAGCCTTTCGTTACCCAACTGCATGGCATCGCTCACGCCTACCCAGCAGTGTATGATCTGGTCATCTAGTTCAACGTTGGGTACATAACTAAAGCTATTAGATATAACTGATTGATTTGTTCCCGGCGTGTTTCCCTCGTTTGATATTAGACGTCTTCCGGACAGGGCAGGGTCAGTTTTCCGGATGCTGTCAGGAACCATGTTCGTCCAGCCGAGGCGGCCAGCTAGCTGCGTCAAGTAGACCAGCAGCAACCGCTTGATCCGCGTCGCGCGGAGACGATACGCTTCGTCCTCGTACTCGGGTCGCGTGATGGCATTGGTCTCAAGTAGCTCATCGATGTCGTCGAAAACTCCTAATTCATAAGCGAGTCCTAACGCATTGCTGAGCAGCATCCAACACATGCGGTCGCTCCTCCATGCAGGCTCAAGCCAGCTTTCAATTCTACGACCTCCGACGTTGCCGCCGGGACGTTGATCCCCTTCGTCATCATCGAGCTGGGGTCCGCCGCGAGAGGGGAGCATCAACTCGTCAATTGCCTCGTCTGGAGGGAAGTGAAGCGCGCGGGGATGCCACTCAGTCAATATCATTAACGACTCGATTGTCCCTAATGTACGAAGACTTCCTTTCCTCAAACCTCGCCATGGCGCAGTGCTAGAGGTCTGGGACTCATCAGCGCCGGACCCGCAGAAGCCACCGCCAAAAGCCTCTTGTCCCCAAAGACATCTTTCAATCATCCTTCGAAGATATCTCCATAGCTCCTCATGAATTGCGTGCGATCTACAATGTCCACCCGTGGAGCGGATACGGTAGTATCTCGATGCGATCGTCAGCAGCGTGACGGTGAGTATAGGTTCTTCGGTCAGTAAGGTGATATGAGAAGCCGGACTTCGGAAGGTTGGTGGCGAGATGGGCGTCATGGGAGATAGGTACTCATAATAGCTTGACAATAAATTAGTAAGGTGCGAAAATAGCCGTCATTGTTAACTTACTACACAATATACTTTATGGCCTCCTCTTTCGTGAACCATCCAGCTCTAACAAATCTAAACCTCGACCAAGCTTCGAGGGCTTCTTGATACCCGGCTTCATTTTCAACACTTAACCGACGTTCCATATCAGCTACCTCATCGTTCTTAGTCGATGACTGCAAGAGTGGATCTATGAGGTCTGCGGATTTCGACGTTGCGCGACCAGCCGGGCGACCATTATAACCAGAACTGTGGTCTCGCGGCGTTTTACGACCAGGAACGGATACGGGCGAGGGCTGGACAACGGAAGCAATGCTTTCGTGGCGCCTGTTTAGATCGTGCGGGCTTGTGGCATAATCAGCGATTCGCTCGTTTGGGAGCATGCTAGACGAAGGTGATATAAAGACGGACCTGTCGGTAGCAGCCTTGTACAGTAGGTCGAGGGCATCATGAGGCCCGTAGACTTCCTTTCTCATGACGCTCTGCGCTTCGAGATTTTCCAACTGAGCATTTGAATCTTCACCGACGTCCGTATAGCTTCCTCCTCTGTCGCTCTTCCTCCCGTCTTCATGCTCTGCACTGGGTCGCTTTAAGGGTTGTGTTCGGCCGGTCGAACCACCGGGAGTCAGCGGTACGCTACTATAGGATTTCTTGTCGACAAACGGAGGCGTGTCTTCGGCATGGGCTCGCTTTCGAGCGTTACGAACAATATAATCATCTTCCGGCTCGTCGATATCGTCCTCGTTCTTACGCTTACGTCGCGTAGCGCTGAAGAAACATTCTTTGCTTTCACGGCGGCAACGCACGCACGGGGGGTCGTGGGGATCATCTACGCTGCCCAAATCACATCTCACCTTTCTCCTCCGACAAGGGATACACGCTTGGTATACGCGTTTGTGCTGGGGAGTTTGAGACTGCGGCTGAGGCTGGGACTGGGGTTGCGCGTGCGGGTGAGAATGCGCCGTGTTTGCGGGGAGAGATTGGCGTGATTGTTGAATGGCAGATGACATGTTAGCAGCGGGTGCGGCGGCATTCTCATATTGAGACATGGTCTGATCCAGTGGTGGTGCTATCGATCTGGTCTGTTTCGGCTTCGGCTCCAGTTCCAGTTCCAGCTCCAGCTCCAGCGCCAACTTGAGCCCTGATTTCCCGCTCACGCATCAAACACGACGTAGAAAGACCCGGCGCGCGCCGACTGCTGTTCGGCTTACGACGGGATTTCGAGGTCTTATATAATAAGGGCGCGCAAAAGCAATAAGCGCTCTAACTGAGTAAGACGAATCTAGTCTGACAATTGGAAGAGTCTCTAATAATTTTGATCCCTACTTTGAATAGATCGGTAGACGAGTGAAATGGTTTACCTCGGACTTGCGGGGTTGGGAAACCGAGACAGCTAGGACGGGGGAGAATTGTACAGTATGCAAATGAACTAGCATACAGTATGCACAAGGTCCTACGTAGAGCAGATAGCTCAAGTAGAGACACAACAATACTTCGGTGATACAGCTTCTTGCAAATGATCACCGGTCAGGTGGTAGAAGGGTTGATATGTATGTAGTAGGGTTAGAATCGGTAGGTAGTTTAAGCTGTCTTAAGGTACAAGCAACAGGGTTGACGGGCGGAGACGGGGACCACAAAAATGGGAAAGATATAGGTAAGATGGGCAAAGTCAATTCGGATTGAGGCTTGATTCGATCTTCCGTCTCGTCTGGTCCTAGGCCTCCGTCTATCTCGGACTTGACGTTGATAAGCCGCAGCTGTGGGTGGCCTATTTTAGTTTGTAATCGGGGAAGAGAACAATGGAATTAGGAATTGTAAGGGTATTATTGGCGCTACGATTGGAGCGGTTGTTAAGTAACCGGAGTCCGGGATTGCACGTTTGCCAATGAATAGATAGAAAATGTAGAATTAGGGTGGGATAACGTAGGATTTGTATGTATGATGTGATGGAGAAATTGAGAGAATTGAGATATGCACAGGACAACTTTCCTTATTTCCTTTTTTCCCCCTCGTGCTGTTTCTCTCTTTTCGCTTCTCTCTTTCCATATAATTACACCGATTACGATATATCAATACACTACGCTATGTGCCAACGGAAGCCACACTACGCTCCCTCCCTCCCCCCCCGGTCAATGGCAAGTTAGCAAGGAAAGCCAAGAGGAAGGAGATAGGTGTCCCCAGACATGTACCTACCTACACTAAAATATATCCTGCCTAAGAATGCAGTTACCCATGTACATGCATCCCTAAAGTTCATACTAACAATGTACCTAATAGCCTTTATTACGTCAATAATGCTATTTATTAGGCAGGTGAGGCATTGTGCAATACCTGTGCAACGAGTATCGAGCAACACAGACAATACCATAGTATTTGAATAGGTACATACATACCACCTAATAAGTCGGTGAAGAAGATGTACTAATATTAAAGCCTACCTAACATGTACCCGCCTATCAAGTAACCGGCCCTATACTACATAAAGTACCTCTCGATTAGTTGCGATGCAGGACCCAATAACGCTTGCCCTCATGCAATTGTTGCTGAAAGCGGTAACTATTTTCTGCCTAATAGAATTTCGGAGTGTGGCTGGGCTGAAGCAGATTCATTCGGTCACGTTACCGTCCAGCATGACCCGATTCCAAGAATCCTTCACCTTAGTTTCCTTCCTTAGTTCACCTTGATAAAATGAGGCCCCAAAGGACATTACATAAACCACTCTAGATCCTCTCCGCAAAGCCCCACTAAACAAGAAGTATCCGTAGCGGATGATCGCTCAGCCTCAAAACTTGTGATGCCTGTGATGTCATTCTCAGCTCGACAGCCCACGACGCTCCCAACGCCGCAATCTGTACCTACATATGTATAATTTGTCTTGATCATCCAACCAATCGGTCTCACTCCGACCCTAATAGCCAACTACAGTCGGTTACGGTATTGAAACTACAAGCTGCACAATCACATGTCCTTCGAGGCAATAGCATTTTTATAGGTAGATATGCGGTGAGTCGCAAGCGGCGGTTCGGACGCGAATCGGAGTCCCATCTACGTATGTAGGTAGCTCATATATGTAACTTACCCACGTGCAGATGGCGTGTATCAAGGTACATTGATATTCACATTGGTAGTCCGTAAGCGCGAATAACACTATACAAATACGTGTACGGCAGGCGTAAAATCTTTAAAAATAAACCTTTTGCATTGTCGGGAGACTATTTAATTGCAGGGTATCTATCGCGATGGAGGAAGCGTTGAAACGCAACCATACGCCAAGGTCAACCATTGCCACCTGCCAACCAATGCCACTATTCACTTGGGCAACCTAATGAGGTACCATACCTAACTCGTAACGCCAATGCCAATGCCAATGCAAATGCAAATGCAACCCAGTGTTCATGTGAAGATGACGAACAAGATAAACACGAGAGTCCAGTAGAAGATGACGGCGCAAGACCAACAAACCATTCCAAACCAGACGGGGTACAACCCGACAAGAACTTGCGACGAGATCTTTAGACAACCTTAATGTCAACCTGCTTTAGGTTAGCAATCTGTGTACGTTTCGTTCTGATAGAGTGCGCATAAGTGCCTACCATGAAGTCCCAGATCATCTTAGAGAGATGATCGGGCAAAGTATACAGGTCCACCGTGAATTCACCAGCATCCATGTCGTTCTTAGTGTATGTCTCATCGCTCTTGTGATCATGGATCAACTGAATGACGTGAAGGAGCTCATCCTCGTTGAGCTTACCGAGACCATCGGCCATCTTCTCGTAGTCGTAGGCTGCCTTCTTCTTCTTGAAGTCGTTCGCCTTGCGAGCCTTGGTTGCGGCCTTCGAGTCGTCCTCGTTGGGGATAGGACCAGTCTCGCGGAGGACCGAGAGCAACGCCTGAGAAGGGTTCTTGAAGTTGACCGTCTGGATGACTTCGTACTTCGGGGACTGGAAGTTCAAGTCGTGGTAGACGGTAGTCTTGCCGCCCTTCTCGGTAGTGAAGAGATCGATCGACATCTCGAACTCGCCCCATCCTTCGTTCTTGCAGGTGAAGGGAGGATCAGTGAAGGCTATCGTCCGGTCAGTCTTGAAACCTCGAGGCTGATACACGCGCGCGGGATTCGAAGTCGCTTACTCTGATGAGTTTTGTCCTCGAAGGAAGGGTGAAGGTTGTAGGTAACCTTGGTGAAGCAACTGGCAGGATGCTCGTTACCAGCCTGGTCGAGGACGTAGATCTTGACGCTCCATTCCTTCATGGGAAACTCAGGCATAGGCGAGGGCTTCGGACTAGATGCGCATAGAGTGTTAGTAGCTATAGATACACGAAAGGCTTCTAATTAGGGTGTATTAGCCATGGGGTAACTTACATGTTGTGCTGCTCGGTAACGAGCTTGATTGATCGCTATAGGTTCGTCAGCGCGTTAGTACATCCTTCAATTCCTTAGGAAACGCGTATCGTATCCTAAAAAAAACAAAAACAAAAAAACAAAAAAAAAGCTATGGTCCTCGACCATAAAAATAGCGAATATTAGAATTCAACAGAAACATACTTCGACGTGCATCTTGCAAGACTTGGGATACTAAGCGATCGTGAGGTGAGTTTTGGACTACAAATGAATTCAATGATGATGGTGGAGTAGAGAGCGCGTACCTGCACCAGTACAATAGTTGTAGCCTTCTTTTTCTTGGCCTTGCTGATGGCACGTGCGTTAGCGCGCTTGTTCTTACGCGCCATTTTGGGCTGATTTCGGAAGAAGGTTGTGGCGGTGTTGATTGTAGGTGTGGCTTCGGAATATTATTGTTCCAAATGTATTTGTGCACGGACTGGAAAAGATTTGAATTAGATGTGGGAGACAGGAGCAAATTGTGTGGATTCTAAAATCATGTGGGGCTTAATGTACCTAGGTACTAACGCACCTACCACTTGCTAAAGCAGCACCTATTCGTGCAAGAGCTACCACTTAGGTACCTATGTACTTGTAGATAGAACCAAGTACTTACTGCATGCAGTGAAGTTGATACCAGTATTTGTGCTTGCCTTAGTTCAGGCATACAACTTTAGGTTAAGAGAAATATAGGTATGCATTTCTAAGTCTTTGAAAGTCCTTTTAAGCCCCTTAAAAACGAGGATAGAGCCTAGATGCTAAGTATCACTTAGGGAAATAGGGAAAATTACATACACTTCACAAATAGGTAGATATCTGACTTGATTTCGTTTTATAGTTCTTCTTTCTATGCTATTCAAGTCAGTAGAACTCAGGACTTTAAAGGCCAAATGGAGAAGCTGAAGGTAGGTAGTAAATCCTCATCCCACCCATCAACCCCCAACCCCCAAGCACCATTCACAACCTCCAGCGAATCACTATAATATACACACAGCAAAGCTTCACAGAAGACCAAGCACACGCACGTAGTAAAACATTATAGTAGTAACATGCTTAGAATAGAGCTATTAGAAAGCCTCTCGTCATGATAATTGACAGTCCCAATATCCACTGCGCTAGCTAAAGTAGGTAGGTAGGTAGGTAGGTAGGTAGACACCACCCATAGCGAATCGGAAGCCCCTGCTTCGTGTCCAGCTCTGGGTGCCTAGTGTTTCCTTACGAGAGTGACCCTGACTCGCGTGTGGCATCGAAACAGACTCGATAAACACCCGCTTCGTGGCAATGGACACATACGCTCGCCTGGTAAGCAATAGAGGAATAGCAATGCGCGCTTGTGCCAGAGTAAATATCCGTACATGACCCCGTCCATTTTTTGCTACTTGTAACAGTTTTTGAATTATGGCTTTCATATATGAGGGACGCGTTGCCCTGTTAACTTGTCTTAGGATCATATGATCCCGCCGGGAGGATTATACTGAACACCTGTTAAGTCTCCAGTGTTTAGGCCCGCGCTCCCAGGTGTTTCGGCGTCCGCTTGTGCAGTATTGGTTTTCCGTAACATGAACATGGGTTTCTTTCCTTCCTTGTCCAATTGCTTAAAAAGGATCAATGGCTTCTCGTGCAGACCCAGGCAACGTTCTTGATCACCATACACAATATACAGCGCGTATTGGTCCCATGGCGCGTTGATCTGATATTTCTTCAGAGCAGCTGGGAGGACCTTGTAGCAAGGATCGTCCATACTGACCCTAAACGACTTAAAGATCTCCACCGAAGAATTCGAGCCTGGAGTCTCGGGTACTGGCGTCTGCCCTCGTCGTGGCGCGATGGGTTGCTTAGAATTATGGCCGTATTCACTTTCCGAGAAAGTGGTGCGGTTAGATGGGGTTTGCCGGTCGTCAGAGCGGTATGACCGGGAACCGAGGGTGGCGCTGCCTAGATTTGGAGGTGAGGTGGGCGAGGGTATATTCGGAGAATAGCCGGGCGACGTAGCCTGGCCGGAACCATTCATCGCAGTCAGAAGTGATGATGACATAACGGCCCTCTCGGCGGCACCCGCAGGGTCTAGAGTTTGTTCTACAGAGGGCCGCTCGTGAGTGGTCTGTAAGTGAGTAGGGGATACGCTCTTGGGATTCGTACCAAGAACAATCTTCTTAGTGGAATATTGACGTTTAATGCCACCGGCCGATTGATTCGACGCAGAGGTAGGAGCGGGAGGGGAAACCGTAGAAGCCTCGTAGCCGTAGCCTCCTTGATTGTTTGATACATGTGGTAGAGGCTGCTGCGCGTCTTTAGCAAGGCGCAAGGCTGGCAGCATATCTTCGCGTAACCGTCTGAAATCATCCGTCATCCGTCGCAAGTCCTGCTCCAAGAAGCTCATCCTTTCGTCTCGAAGTCGTAGCTGCTCGACTAAGTTTTTGATGTCTTTAAGGGTTGCGGTAGCGTATTGGGCTTCGGCATCGGCAGCTATATGCGAGGTTAGTAGGCTAAGTTAACGGCAACATGAAATACGCAAAGTGCGTAGGGAGGACGGGGACCAGAAAGAACGCGACGTACAGAGTGGTACATAGTGGTCGCTCTCTATAGGAACATCCTGTGCCTTTTTTACATCATAGACGCTCTTAAGTATTGTTAACCGGTGACCTACACTAGCCACTCCCATGGCTTTGAGGTCATCGTGTAGCAGAGCCACCAAGGCCTCGCCCACAATCTCATTCTCTAGACTTGAGGTTAGAACGGCGAATTTGACAAAGAGGGCTGTAACGACGTTTCACGACCACACGCGAAGCGGGAAGACATACCAAGAAATCGATCTGAATACTGCTGTAATCCTATACTAGCAATGAAATCGGCACACTCATCCGCGTCCCATTCGGATATTATGGTTTCGGGCAACCTATCGGCGCTACTGGGTTGTCCGTAGGTAGTAGGCGTGTGCTCGGTAGAGGATCGGCCATCGGAATCGGTCGGGGAGATCTCAGAATCGGTGGCGAGGACGGGTGAACTAGTATGGACGCTCCTCTCGTACTCATCGTCGGCGTCGGATTCCGCATAGGCGGTGCCCGAGTCGAAGTTCATCGTCGGCGCTTGCTAAAGCAAAGCAAGGCAAAATAGCAAGAATCAATTTGAGACTGTGGCGTTATTTAGGTTATATCGTCTCCCACGTTTCCACGTTTCAAAAACTCTCTTTGCTTTCTTTCTTGTAACTCCCAGGCCCCTCCCTCCTTTTCTTTTCCTATCTCTTTCTCTCTGTCGAGCAGGGTCTAAAAGGGTTCAAAGACGAGAATTATAAACCCGCGCGCCTAATCGACAAGGAACTACCAAAGACTTTGTTCCTAGTAACACCCCGGGAAGAGTCCACCTTAATACAATACAACGATGTGTCGAAACAGCTGTCGGAAACAGGAGGTATGGGGAATTGTTTACTACGGACGAAAACCCTTGCAGTGCTACTGTATAAGTCGGGGACAGTGTTGAATTTGGAGGACAAGTCGGAGAGGAGAGACTGGAGTTGGCAGTTATTTGCAGTGCGGACTTGGAGACTTTGGAGGTTGCTAATAACGAATTGATTCGAGGTTGTAGAAAGCCCAGCGCTTTGCCTTGGTCCCGCTCGCAATTCCTTAAGTTCTTGTTCCTGGTAGTCCCTCCATCCCCGTCCCTCCTTCCCTGTGCCCTGTGTACACTATTCTACCTACATGCATTATGTACACTAATATCCATAGTATCAATTATACGTATGTAGGTATATGGAAGTACATAATGTACCTAACTTAGTACCTACTGTGATACATAATAAATGTACCTGTGCTACCGTACCGCCCAAAAGATGCACAGCATAAATAAAGGGGGTACACAGCCCCCATGGTCACTGTACATAAAGTGCCCGGTGTTTCTAATAGTCGGATGGTGTACCTGAGCAGGCCTAGTTGGGTACTTGTAGCCGCTGCTTGGCGCCCTTTTCGCTCCTCCTCTAGGCATTCCACAGTCCACCTCTCTGCACCTTTTAACCAGTTTTCTGCTAGTCTCCGCAGGTTGGATGGGTCCCCTTTTTTCTCAACCACCAATTCGAGACCATTGTACTAAGTATAGGTCTATGTACTCAAGTACCTACATTGTTGGCGTCTATGGCGTATGGATGTACATACATATAGGTATAAATATTAGTTATAGTTAAAGGTACTTTATAGAATACTTCATATAATACTCCATATAATAAATCATAAACGCATAAACACAGTCATATTAATATCAGTTTTTTCTTAATCATTTCCCTTGATCTCGTACTGAGAAGCGAGCTATCAAATCAGCAAAAGAAAAAAAGAACACCCTTGTCTCTGCAGAATGCTGAATTTGCGGAAATATCCGCTTAACAAGCTTAAGCTACCATAGCTTTTGGACCAGAATGTTGACGACGACGGTTAGATTTCATCGCAAATCATTGGGTATCGCAACGTCCAAGTAAGCCTGGCGTTACATTCGCTTCAACCGAGTCGGCGGCACGCAACCTTTCATGATCTATCATCTTTAATCTTCTAGGTTATACCATGTTTATGTAAATGCTCATATCGCCTATGTACATACAAGAATCTACCGGTTTACCTACTCTAATCTACGGATCTCGGCACTTCTTAGTTATGATTATATGACATCAATAGATTTTATCCTAGACTCGGCTGACCTATTGTTCATATAGACAAGAATAGTGGCTTATGTTGGAAATACATTTTAATAATTACTCAAGTGAAGAGGAAGTTGAATTTAGATATGCTGATCCAATGCACGCCCTTTGCTGTCAGCCGCAACACCTTACCCATACTCTACGAGAAACTGACTGCTTCATCAGTGCTAGGCTTCAAATGATGGCGCGGGGAATCCATTATATTGCCGCTTTAAGATAATTCTCATTAAGGTAGGTATGTCTGGATCCTCAACTAGAATCAGCCCAAATCCAAGGGAATAGCAGCTCCTTCAAGATGCTAATTATATACACTTTCATGACATTACTTCCAACCCGCACTTTACCTAAAACATTCAAAAATCCTAGCTAAGCATTATATCAAGCCTGTTTCCTAATAGGATATACTCAACAATATCTCAAGAGATTCTCTACGCCTACATAAACTAACGTTCAAGACACTAAGCATTGGGTGATAAACATTCATCACATAAGTCATAAGTCATATAATTAAGCAAATACTAACGAATGAATTCGTATTCCTATCGAATACTATTAATGCCCCAAGTCCACAAGGGACGAGGCTAAGGGCCATCGTCGACCTAAGGTCAACTGACGACCAAGGGTGGCAATACAATAAGTACAGCGTCAGGGTATCTTTGTCTTCCGATGCCTGCGGCAAAAAGGAGTTGTTCCGCCTCGCTCGCCCTTTTGACATACCAGCCGGTGTGAAGTGAACCAAGGTTTATCTGTAAAGCGAGTGCGGTCCCAACCTCCAAATCCACAACCAATTATCGGCCCGGGGCCGTCTATTAACTCCAAGGCGCCCTAGTTCGAGATATCGTGTTCCCATACCGTGACAAAACTCCTTAATGCAAGTTATTCACATTCGTAACTGCAGGATGCCTAATTATTCTATCTTAATCTCATTTTAGCGTCTTCCGAACCATGAGCGATAATCTCCTCAAGGGACCATCGAGGCGGCTCGATGACGCCCTTAGATCCACTCGCATTATGCCGTATCTTCTCATTTTCCGGGGCAACGCCTTCTGGTAGAGACTTGAGGCCTCCAGCAATTCCTGTTGAGAACTTGAGCTGCAGGATATCTCCGACCTCATCGCAAGCAGCTAGAAGTCGGTCCATATCGTCCTTGTTGTGTGCAGCCGAGACACAGAAACGCGCACGAGAGCTGATCAATGGAGTAGCAGGGTACCCAACGACAACAACCGAAATCCTACGCTTAAGCATCTCATGGCTGAAGGCAGAAATCTTAGCAGGATTATATAATGTGACAGGGATAATGGGAGAATCATCGTGACCATAGACAATAAGACCTAAGCGCTTGAGACCAAGACGAAGATATCGAGAGTTGAAGGCGATACGCTGCAGGCGTTCCTCGCCCTGGCCGGGAACAAGTTCACCGCTAATGATCTTTAGCGAAGCCAGAATCTGCATCAGGACAGCCGGAGTAGGAGATTCTCCTAGCATGGTAGCGGAGTTAGAACTCTTCAGCTTTTCGATGATGTGCTTCTCGGCCGCTACATAACCTCCATTGGCACCAAAAGACTTTGTCAGAGTTCCCATAAGAATATCTACTCTGCTTGGGTCGATGCCGAAGTAGTCGCAGACGCCGCGTCCCTTGGGACCAAGGGCTCCAATGCTGTGGGCTTCGTCGACGTAGAGGGCAAACTTGTAGATGTCTTTAAGGTTGAGTATACCGGGTAGATCGCACATAGTACCTTCCATGGAGTAAAGTCCCTCAACGGCGACGAGAATCTTCTTCCAAGGACGGTGAGTTCGAGGCTGACCTTGGGCAATGGCTTCTCGCAGTTTCCTCTCAAGGTCTAACATATCGTTATGCTTGAAAGAACGAATGACAGCACCAGAAAGACGAGCACCGAGTCGGATTGAGGCATGGTTCAGCTCATCGGAGATGATCAAGCAACCTTTGGAAACAAGAGCTGGGAAAGAGCTGGCGTTTGTGACGAAACCCATAGAGAAAACCATGGCAGCTGGTTTGCCAACAAATGTCGCAATTTCCTTCTCAACCTCACAGACAAGTTCAGAAGTACCCGAATCACCACGAGGACTGCAGAAGCTGAGACCATATCTCTTCACACACTCCTCGACAGCATTAGCGCAAGGACCTTCAGACTGTGCAAACCCAAGGTAGTTGTACGAGCTCATGTTCAGAGTCTCTGTCGCACCACCAGTGTACCTGTAAGTCTCATTGAAGTCATCTGAAACACGGTTCAGAACGTTGATATATCGACCCGGCACGCCAGTAATAGTCCTTGCGAAGCAATCGTCTATACGCATCTTCAACCGTCTAGTGTAGAAGCTATCGAAATCGTCATTCAAAGGTGCATAGCCATTAGCTACACGGAGAGTCTTGTAGGTTTGTTTCTTGCTGAATCGCTTGCCGAAAAAGTCCCTAATGTGACCAAGAGCGAGGAGAAGGAGATAGCTGATATAGGTTGTTAAGACATAATAATATGGCGGCTCGTCGATGATGGGTGCTTCTAGAGGTTCTCCATGATGTTTGCTGACGTATCGGTCAGTTGGGTCAACCAATGGCCCGAACTGAGCGTCGAAACGTTTCTGGCGCGATATTTCGGTAGAGGAAGGAGGTTGGAACAAGGTAGTCGGTGGCTCATCTTGATTAAGCTCGCCAGCAGTAGCCGTAGAAAGAGAAATGGTGGGCAGGGATAAACCCGGAGTCGTAATAGAAGGGTTAGAGCCGTTCTGCATGGCCATCAGAGCTTGCTGGGCAGACGGCTGTTGACTGGCCTTGGGGGACGAGGAGAAGAGTTGGCTAAGGCGATTCCCTCTGGACTGTGAGGGTCTTCTCTCGCCAGCCTTCTCTGTATGCGGCATACTGTTTGAAGTAAAGGGTATTGAGATACGTCGTGGCATTTCTATAGGTAGTAGGAAATAGTAACGGATATATAATCGGGCGGTTGTGAAGGGACAAATAACGCAAAAGAGCCCCGGAGTATAGGTCTACAGTTTGTGGATCTAAATGGCCGTTAGTTAAATGGGTTAAGTGCCACCGGAAAGTTAATGTCACTGGATTGTCGGGTTAGAACCACACGGTAACAGTCGGAGGTTCTTAAGGGGAGTGGATCGTGGTATTTGTTTCCAACAGACTTCGGCGGAAGTTGACTGGAAAGATAGGAAACAATAACACAGCCGCAACATCTAGGACATAGCTAGGACATGGCTGCCGATAACTTGATGAACAATCCAAGGCGCAAGGTATGCACCGATTGTGCCAATTGTGATAATTGTGACGAACGAGTTGATAATGGAAAGCTTTAGTGAATTGGGTTTGTACAAACAATGCCTGTCCGTGCTTGATTGTGCGCAAATGGATATCTAAATAAATCAACTCACTTTGCCCTTTCCCTGAGCTTCCGTCCTTTGCACCGGTCCTTCTAAGGGTGGCTGTTGTTCCTGTCTGGAGATTACGGATAGGCCGGCCGAGCGAGTTGAAAGCTATTGATTAAAAACCTTAGAGCTATTGGAACTCGATTAAAGGGGGGATTCAATTGGGCGACGGCTGATATCGTTAAATCAAGGAGCGTAATTGAGGGAAAATATTCCTTCGGTTCGACAGCGACGACAGCTACCCTCAACCACCAAAAGCACCTTTCTGAAAAGTTGACAAGGAAGAGAGGTGCACGAGGTGAAGAGGCAAGGAGGAAGAAGATCAAATTTAGGAGGCGCGAGAGCAACTAGATTTAGATGGCAGTTTCAAAATGTGGATCTAAATTAGTGTAAGTCTGTTAGCTAATACCGTTATTGGTCCATTTTATGTTCATTAATACACTAAATCCATTTTGGTACCGTATGAGCCGAACGGGCCATGAGTTTCACAAAAACCTTACCATAGTATAAGATCGCCACAGGCCTCCAGGCAGGGCTGACAGGCTATTTCTCCAAGACTCAGGCACTACGGATCCGTAATATCATATTAGTCAGAGTTAAGTCTGACTGTCAGACAGAAAGTCCTT